ATGACACGTGGAATGGTGAAACTGCTTGAATCATCCCTCTTTTCCAGTAATTTGTTATGGATCACACCACTACATTCATAAGTGAGGGTAACCTTCTCTAGATCAACCGTTTTTTACTTCTTAGCCAGCCACTCCTTTAAGAATCTAGCATTTGTTCAAGTGCCTCTACCAATGATATGATGATATGAAGTTGCTTGAAGAGTATCACAAATTTCTTGAAGTTTGTGTCTTCCAAAGGCTTCATTAGCCTCTTCGTAAAGGGTGTGGATGGCTCATAGAGTTTAAGCTCTTCATTCTCGAATTTTTCTAATTTTGGAGGTGCACATGCAGAATGCTCATAATTTTGAATTTTTGCACTTTCTTCTTCTCCGACTGCTTTACCCTTCTTTTCAAATAGATTTTTCTCGCTCTTTGGATCATCCAACTCCTACCCACTCCTCAAGGTAATGGCATTACATCCTTTGGCATCCTCTCATCATTTCAAGCTAGAGTACTCAACATGCGACCTTGCATCTACACCAGAGTTTGAGCATTTGACAAATTTGTCTGGCAATTTTAAGTATGGAGGTTTCGTAGTTTTTTTATCATGTTTTGTTCTTCAAGTTGATTGGTGATGTGAGCAAAAAATTAATCCAGGCCCTTCAAATTTGCATCAACCTTCTGCATATGGGAATGATAAAACTCTTAAAGACTTGCCTTCTTCTCCTAATACGGTGGTTGTGGTTGGAAGCGCCACTTTGCATCATATGTATTAGAGAAAAATACCACCTTGGTTCTTCTGATTTCTCACAATTTGCATATCCTCCAACTGAGCAGTTCCCAGTGGGCATACTTCTCAGTAATGACCTCCTCCACACACCTCACGTGATGACACTTCTTAGGAATTAACAAAAGACGGTATGTCTAGTCCTCATCGAGTACATCAAACTTGGCATCCGACTTAACATAAATTTTGGTTTCCAATTCAATGGTTCTATTAACCTCATGTACACTCCTCTTCTTCTTATACTCCTCTCTCCTTCCCTCTTATTTGCGTCGGAACATATCCTCCATAAGGTCATAAGCAACAGTAGGCTCCACAGCAGTAAATCCTCTTGGGGATGCATCATTGAGGGCCTCTAGAACTCTCTTCTAATTTGATCAAAGAATATGGTGATAACCGTCCACTCTTGAAGACCATGACTCAGGAATTTCATTTAAATCCCCTTGTAGCACTCTAATGCCTCACTCAAAATTTCATCCTCTACATGCACAAAATACACTATCTCCTTTTGATGTGTCATATCCTTCGTAGAGGAAAATACTTGTCGAGAAAAGCTTTCTTAGAGTCCATGTAGTGATTGAGTGATGTGCTAGATTTTGAAACCAGTATGTTGCATTCCCCACCAAATAAAATGAGAACATACGAAGGTGGATCACATCATCGGATACGTCAGGATTCTTCATTGTATCACAGATGATTACGAATCACCTAATATGTTTGTGTTGTGTACCCATTGGTGATCGTGTTGATGAAAGAAGGTGTGATATACAGGTTAGCATTAACAGTTGGAATGGCAAACCTTGAAGCTCGGGCTCTAGTTCTCCGTTAAGTTTGGCTTTAATGGAGCGATCTTAATGTCCCATGTTGAGCGACTCAATGACACGTGAAGGTGGTGATGGTGTAGGGCTATAGGTGTAGAACCATGCACCAGCTGTTGACTACTCCTGGTTAGGGAAGGCCCTAATGCATTGGTTGGTCCCTTACCTAACTTTGCCTACTTCTTGTTCAGACGGCAGGTCTTATCGATCTCCAGGTTCAGAGGCAGCCGGTAGTCCTCCTACGCATGCACAAAGAAAACTAACTTGAGAAACAACTTGCGCAAGGATCAAAATAGTTCACATGACTAAAATAAATAAAAATAAGGTATGAAAGTTTCTGGCAATGACATCAAAAACTTGATAGGCCAAAAGTATAATGCCTCTGTTCCTATATTGTAGTAGACCAGAAATGGTGCTCGGGCAATGAATCCGACCATCATGTTCCCCGCATGCGGCCGAGAATGGGACGACAATGTCCTTTCGCTCTTGGTCACGAGGTAGAGATGCCTATTTGCAAAATTGCAAATGTTTGGTTCCATGTGCGGCAATGTTTAAAAAGGAGAATAAAAGATTGACTCCTACCTTGAAAAGAAAGAATAAATAGTACTTCCTAAGAGCCAATCGTTTTTATTGTTTTTAGAGCCCCCTGTGCACGCCGTGAATGTCCTAATCTATTTAGTTGACATGGTCCTCATCAAGAGTTTTGGTTTTCACAGTGAGATGAGAGTAACGTTCACTCGACCCTGACTCTTATAAATAGTAAAACGAAGACTATAGTTTATACCATGTTGATTGTTTAATAAGTTGTATGGGTTTGAGTTGGTTTGCTATGGGGCAAGCAAATACCTAAGTATGAGGGAGTTGATAACACCCAAAATGAGGATCGTTTTAAGTCATTTCATGGTCTCATTGGTTGATATTTCATCAAATACATCCTTAATTCATTCCTCAGAGAAAATATCATCATCTTTAGGATGTATTAGATGAGACATGCATTTAGAAACGCAAAGGGGTCACTAGTGTAGAAAAATGGGCCAAAATGGAGTTCACAGCTAAAGGAGCAAAGATCACGGTTGGGAAATAGAAGGCCTGAAACGGAGCTTGAAGATCGCAACCTATGGCATAGATCGGGACCGCGAACTAAGGAGCTTCGAGCGCGAACTTGAAGAAGCAGCCGTCAAGGGAGGACTAGAGAGTCTCAATAATTGACTCGCGACTCTCGTGTCCAAGCCTTCGAGAAAGATTGCAGTTGTGACATCCCAGATCGCGACTGTGATGTCAGGTCGCGATCTCCTAAGCCAGAGAATACCAAATTTGCTGAAGTCAAGATCGCGGCCTCTTTTCCTTAGATCACGACTGCGAACATCCGCCTGTGACCGCAAACTTACTTGTCATCCCATAACTCTATAAATAAGGGAATTCCTCCTTGAGTAGAGTGGCTTTGGCAGATTTCTTGTTCTAGAGAGAGAAGTAAAAGGTTGTAGAAGAAGAGGAAGAGAAGAAATGGAGGAGGATTTCCAGAACTTGTAGACCCCTTTCTTCATGATTTCTTCCCCTCTTTGCATGTCTCTTCTTCCCCCCTTTATGGGGTAGTCCCTCAAGGTATTTTGGGGCTTTGTCCCCCCTAACGCTAACTTAGGGTTTGATATGTAATAGGATGTTTTAGACTTAAATTTTGGATGATTTTTACCCTATCTATCTATGTCTATTTGGTGTTTGTTCATTCTTGTGGTATTGTCTGTATCTCGTTTCCCCTAGTTGAAAATTAGCTATTTAGGGGAACTATCATCTGCTTTCATGTGGTTTAATGAATGAATTGTATTTGCCTACCGTTTTATGATTCATCTGTGATTAATAAGGCATGAGCTTGTTTCTCAAACTCTTTTCATTTAGCCTACCACTTAGTGGTGCATGATCTGGACTGGATTCGAGCGTCTTATCTAATTAGGAGTAGAACTAAAGCAACAGTAGTTGGCAATTCTTAGCAAGACTAAGAAAATAAGGTGGATTGAGGATTAGAAATTTCAAAATATGGATACTGGCTTGTATGATACGACATCTATGGGATATCCTAGTTATAGTGGGTCTTTGTGAGTTGCTTGGATTGCAAGATACGAGATAAAAAATAGAACCATATGGAATTTAAATGGTTCCGCAGCTGGTACTTGTATATGGAAAAAAGATACTTAAATATAGAACAACGACACAACCTTTCTTAAGTGGTTCAGGCTACATCTTGACTTGGAATGAAGAACATTGGGCTATTATTCTATTCTGTTAGGAAGGTTTGGGATACTACCATACAACATAGTTGAAATGACATACACTAGTATGGGGCAATGGTCTCATTCAGAGGCATAACTTCATATTATGGTGGATATGTCATAACAAGCTTGTATTGCAGGATAGATTCCAAGCCTTGGATCAACAAGTTACTGGATTATATTTTCTATGTCCAAAATCATCTGTTTGTTTGTTTGTTGATCTTATGACGGGTTTCTGTTGAAGCAAATGTAATATTTTACAAGATTATGTTCTCCTAGTACTAGTAGCTTGGATGAATGTGAAGCTTGTATCATATAGTTGTGTAGTAACTGGAAAGGCGTAAATGAAGAAGCAACAGTGGGGAGATTGGTGTCGAGCAGTTCTCTTAGTTTTATTTGACCGGAAAGATACACTCAAATTAGTTGAGTATCAAAGTGCATATTACTGTTCGACTACTGGTAGCAAGTGACTCAAACTACGCAATGTTATGTTAATTCGACGGAGATTACAATGCTAGAGACCAACTTTACGGTAAAAATATCGATTAGAATAGAGCTCATTTTATGATTAATCGTTCACCGCTTTATATAGTCACCTTGATGTGTTATTACAAAAAAAAAGTAATAGCACTGTGAGGTGAAAAGGTTCGTAGCTGTTCGATTACTTTAACTGCGAAGCCGTACTCTCAGTTTCTAATCTCACTCTCTTGTTTCTCGTTTCTGGGGTTTGCTTACTGTTCGACTATTGATAGCAAGTGACTCAACTCATAAGAAAACAATTATATAGTCAGAGTTTAGGACTACGCAATGTTATGTTAACTCGGCGGAGATTACAATGCTAGAGACCAACTTTACGGTAAAAATAACGATTAGAATAAAGCTCATTTTATGATTAATTGTTCACCGCTTTATACAGCCACCTTGATGCGTTATTGAAAAAAGAAAAAAGTAAGAGCACTATGAGGTGAAAAGGTTCGCAGCTGTTCGATCACTTTGATTGCGAAGCCGTACTCTCAGTTTCTAATCTCACTCTCTTGTTTCTCGTTTCTGGGGTTTGCTTACTGTTCGACTATTGGTAGCAAGTGACTCAACTAATAAGAAAACAATTATACAGTCCTAGTTTAGGACTACGCAATGTTATGTTATTTCGGCCTAGTTTAGGACTACGCAATGTTATGTTATTTCGGCGGAGATTACAATGCTAGAGACCAACTTTACGGTAAAAATAACTATTAGAATAGAGCTCATTTCACCGCTTTATACAGTCACCTTGATGCGTTATTGAAAAAAGATAAAGAGTAAGAGCACTATGAGGTGAAAAGGTTCGCAGCTGTTCGATTACTTTAACTGCGAAGCCGTACTATCAGTTTCTAATCTCACTCTCTCTTTGTTTATCTTTCTGGGGTTTGCTTAAATACTCGATCTTGTCAAACATTGTTCAGAGAGCAGAGGAGAGGAAAGCTAGAGGCCGAGCCGGATACACGAAGAATAGGTTGGGAAAATAATAGAGAGGGCGAGGCGCTATGAAAGAGGACGGCCAGGAAACCCCTAAAACTTCTTCGAATTCCAAGGTAACTCGCCTGTGTTTGATCTTCATCTGCCTCTTTTTCTTATTAGGCGAAATCACGATCCTTTGAATCTTAGGGCGTGTGTCTCTGTAGTTATGAATTCGGCTCGTCATATTGTCTTTGGTTTCCTGTAACCCAATGCCATTTGTAGATTCACACAACCCCAGAAAAGATAATAGATGGGATCGATTTTGTTCATGCGAAAGTGACTTTGTGTCCCAGACTCTTCTGCTGGGCAATCATATTCATAGAGTCTGGATTGGATTTTTGGGCTTGTTTCACATTAACCTGATGTAGTTGGGTAATTCCTCGCTATAGGGAATCTGTACTGAATCTGGCTACGGTCCTAATCTCGCTAATGGTCGATCCACCGTGGAGGTCCTAGCGTAATCCACAGCTCGAGCTCGTGCATTCCGCGCTCCACAGCTGTCGAATGCGCACCTTGGCACCGTGCATCCGAATGCCAGCCATGTAGACGGAATGTATGAGCCATGGATCATTGCGAAATGCTCGAGCGGTGGATCACGTTAGGCCGTCCATACGCAATGAGCGTTAGGACTATGTCAGAATTGCACTATACTACATATACAAACGAGTCCCTTTGTGTCTATTGAAAGTTACATTCTGATTTCAGTGTACCCAACATATACTACTATACTGGTATGACAATCTTCTCTTGCTTCTGTAACTGAGTGTGCTGCTCTTTATATGGTTCGCAAGGTGTATGTATGCCTCGTATATCTGTTTGATGAACAGTACTACCTTTAGTGAGATACTGAGATCTTTAGTAGACTTAAGAAATGAGAAACTGTAACATGGAAAGTATGAAGTAGCTTTATATTTGACCACTCTGGTTTGTGTGTGTCAACTTAGTTATATAATCATTATCAACACCGACGAACCAGTATTGACTTTTAGGAGGCTACTCCTATGAATGATGGCATCCTTGTATTGGATTGATCAAATTAGATGGTTTGTTAACATTTGTATCTTAAACATGCATGTTTCAACTACCATCTGTATCCCTATCTGATGGTTCAGGTCGTGTGTTTTTAAATGCATTTATCCTATTTTGTTCGGATGATGTATGATTCTTATTACTCTGCGATTCTTTCCAACTTTGCTAGTCTCGTGGGGCGGTTCGATCTGTCGACACGTATGCCGCACAATGCCATAATTGCATGAAATGGAGGGTGATGGCAACTGAAGAAGAGTACGAGGAGGTCAGATGCAAGAGCAGCTCTGTAAAATTTACTTGTGAATCGAAAGAAGGCCTCACTTGTGATACCCCAGCTGATATAGAGTATGATTCATCCCGGACTTGGGTCATTGACAAACCTGGACTTCCCAAAACCCCAAGGGGTTTCAAGAGGTACTTGGTGCTTAGGCGAGATTTCTCCAAGATGGATGCCTACTATATAAGTCCTACCGGAAAGAAATTCCGTACGAGAAATGAGGTCGGTGCTTTCATAGAGGCGAACCCGGAGTACAAAGATGTAAAGCTCGATGACTTCAATTTCACATCTCCCAAGGTTATGGAAGACACTATACCGGAGGAAGCACTGAAGAAGGCGACTACTGCTGCCAGTGGCAATGGTGGCAGTAACAAGAGAAGTAAGATTGCAAAGGAAGAAGCTTGAGTGCTGCAGAGGTTTCGACAGGGAGGGGGTTTCTGGCATGGTACTTTATGTTTTTCCTCGGAGTTTGACTACGGCTCTGTTTATGTAGAATGTGCATTTCTCCTTCGGTTGAATGTTTGAAGTGTGAATGGATTCTGTTTGGCTGACCTCTTAACTCTTTAGATGTTTGTACTCTGTAATGAAGTGTCCTATGTGAGCCTTCGGGTCTGTTTCCTTATTGAGTGTCTGGTTTTGTCATGAAGTGGTTGAGTAGCTTCTAAATTCATTGGCATAGGTTGAGGGTCGTACTTCTCTTTTCTGTTCTAAGAGCTATTGCATGTCCTGGTGTTAGTTTGTGGTAGTTACATTGGGAGCATTACACTTATTAGTATAAGGATCAGACATTGATGCGCCTCGGGTTTACTGGGTGAAAAGGTCAACTACTAAGATAGGTTCTGCTTGTATACAGTAGCTAGAAATTCTAATGACCTCCAGGAACATGCAAGACTTCGCTTCAGAATTCGATCAGGAAGGGTTTGGAACTGTTGCAAGTTGCGCAACCACAATGTACCAGTAACTAGAGGTGTCAGTCGGGTTGCGGGTTAGTCTGAGTTGCGAGTCAATTGGGTGGTGGGTCAATTAGGTTTAGGTTAATCAGGTTACGGGTCAATCGGTCACGGATTAATCGGGTTGTCGACCAATCGAGTTACAGGTTAATCGGGTTACGGATCAATAAGGTTACGGGTTTATAGGGTTGTGGGTCGGTCGGATTATAGGTTAGTAAGGTTACGGGGGAATCGATTTGTGGGTTAGTCAAGTTTAATTATATTAAATTAAACAAACCATTAATTTAATCTCTACGGTCAATTTAAAAATAAGATGAACTGAACTAGAAATAACAAAAGATGTAGATTTTGATAGTCACGCTAATTTATTCTTTAAAGGGTTAATATATTTGTATGGCCTTAACTTTTCACAAATTATACATTCTAACCAATCTTTTTTCTTTTTGATCTATAAAATCGTGGCATTAATTATGTATCAAAGTTAATAAGTTGGTCAAACTCGAGATTTGACCGTTAAGAAAGGCATAATTGTGAAAGTTCTGGAAGGTAAACTTGATAGAATTAGTTTGCACCTCATCGGGGAAGGAAACGAACCGAGTAAACAAGGGAAGGGAGAAGCGATCGAATTCTGTGCCACTCAACAATTCTGTTCTGTGCCACTCAACTCAACTGCTTGTCCAAATATTAACCGCTCCTTCCCTATCCTTCCCGCTGATAAGCCTCCTTCACACTCACACCTTTCGCCGGCCGACATGCAATCGCCGATGTCCACCTCTCTCTACCATGGAACTCGCTCCCTTATACTAACACCGAGACCAAGTCAGCGGTACTTGTTGGGGAGCAGCTTCCGGCGGCGACTCCAACTCCGGTCAAGCAGCGGCAGGCCACTTCGGATTCGGGCCGCTGCCAACGATGTGGGCACTCCGCCGGCGGAGCAAGACAAAGAAGAAATTACAAAACCCAATGAAGAAGAACCGAATTCAGCATCCCTTCCGGTGGTGGACGGCAAAGACCTGAAAAGGGTCGTGCAGAAGACGGCGGCGACATTCGCTCCCAGGGCGTCGACTGCTAGCAAGAATCCGGCGGTGCCGGGGAGCACACTGTACAGCGTGTTCGAGGTTCAAGCGTATTTGTCGATGGTGTTTGGCGGTGCTTTGTCTTTCAATCTCATCTTCCCTTCCGACGAGCCCGATTTGTGGAGATTGATGGGGATGTGGTCCATTTGGATGTTCAGTAAGTAGCCCTGATTTTGGCAATTCGAGAATTGCTCTTTTGTTAATCAGAGATTCTGAACGGTTTGATCTCTTGTCTGGTATGGGTGTTGCAGCAATTCCTTCGTTGAGAGCTCGAGATTGCTCGAAGAAGGAGAAAGAGGCTCTGAATTACCTGTTCCTGCTGGTGCCTTTGATGAATGTGGCCATCCCTTTCTTCTGGAAGTCGTTCGCCGTTGTCTGGTCCGCTGATATTGTGGCTTTCTTCGCCATGTACGCTTGGAAGGTACGTAGCTTGCTTCGAACATTGTTCCCGTTTTATCAATCGCCATGGTTGGATCTAGATGGAGTTTACATTTTCTTTTTGTTCTGGAATGGATGGATTCTGCACAGTTGGGATGGCTACAGAGCAGAGAATGAGAGGGCAAAAACATTGATGAGCTCTGTGAAAGGAAAAGAGGCAGGCAGACATTGCAAGCATGCACAATACACATACTACTAGCACGCATCATTCGACGCGGATCGAAGAAGTAGTGTTGGCCAGCAGCAGAAAAAGCAAGAAGAGACTGCAAATGGTTTTCTCAGCAATGCTAAACAAGTACATACAGCTAGCTCATCATCGCGATTGATCTATATGTAATAGGAGGAGCTGTGCCTGTGGGTGGTAGAGAATATAGAAGGGTAGTGGAGGTGTACATTTTTGCCAGCTTTTCTGTGTATGAAGCTGTTCGTTTGGAACCATGAATTGATATCTTTGAGAGAGGGCCAAAGATTGAATGGCGAGTACAAAATCAAATTGGAAGGGCAGTTCGATACGAGTTCGCGTTCGAATAAGAACAGACTACTCATCTGCAAATGCAGCAGTTGGGAGGATCAGTACAACTTGCCATCAATGTACCTGATAATATCAATTGGCTAGGTGCTGGATTGTGAACACGAACGAGAACAAACCCAACATAAATTTCCATTCTCTGCGGATACAATTGCCGCAATGAAATGAACTAAATGGACCAGGATAGGAGGACCTTTGCTATTTAAGTTGGGAATCAGATTCCATTTTACAAGAACAATGCATAGGACTGGTGCTTTCAAGGTCTTCTGTAATGGTTTCAGCTACCAAGTCTTGCTCTAAACTAAGCATTTCTACGGCAGGGAAAATGCAACTCAGCAGACAAATAACTCGGGATCAAAACCTCGAACCTATAAGCGAACTCATGATAACTCGTCATTAATCAGCATCGTCGTCACTGTCCTCAAATTCAGAACCCGAGTCATCACTCCTTGCATCCATCAAACTATTCATGTCAAAACTCGGCATTTCCATCTCTTCCATCCCAATAGTATCATACTCCATCCGCTGCTCAAACTTCTCGTCGCTACAATTCAGAAGCCACGAAAGCGAGCACTTCAAACCCTTGCTTGCAACCCTCTTATGCCTCGGCTTCACTGTGGATTCGAGACCGTAGGTGAAAAATGCTGGGAAAGCAACCAGATCATCCAAAGGCCTCCCCATCTCATTCTGGAAGAAATCAAATCCAAGTTTCATAATGTCAATATTCAGAGCAAGCAACTGAGGACAACCCACAACCATTGCCCCTACTTGTTCCTGCTCAAACCCACAATTTTTGAGGAAATCCACATGCTTCAGAATAGCTTGCCTACTAATGCTGGCAACCTGAGGCATCCTCTCAATGACCCTCCCGAAATCCTCGGATTTCAACCCAGAAACCGAGCTCAGCAGGGTCAGCTGTTCATGGAGCTTGGCCTTTAGGTTAAGTCCCATGATCTCGGGATATTGGGCTACCACCGAAGCAACTGATTCACTTCTTACATTGAACTCCAAAAGGGTTTCCACATTTGGCTTAATCTGGTCAGCCAACCCAAACCCTAGAATGTGAGGTCGTTTCTCTATCAATCTAGCAACAGCTAGTCTTGGAATCCCCAAGCTCTCGAGGTACTCGACGAAAGGCTTGATGACTCGGCCAACTCTCATCCCTAGAATCTCAGGGTATCTAGTTAAAACCCCTCCAATCTCCCTCCTCGCCACACCAATCCCCACCAGATAAGCCACAGATGTGCTCATCGTGCCTTCAAGCTTGAAACCCAGAACTTCAGGGTACTTCTCGAGAACCCTAGGGACGTCATTCGGCTTGATATCCATACCTTGCAAGTACTTCACCACGGGAGCGAGGTCCACGACAACACTGGAATGCAGAACCTGCGGGTACCTTCTCAGGAAATTTGTGATGGCGGATTTCCTGACCCCCAATTTGCCGAGATAGTCCAGCACAGGGATCATGTTCTTCTTAACGCTGCAGCCAAGCACGAGCGGGTAGTTGTTGATGTCTTCAATGGTTAGCCCCAATTGGTGGAGGAAATCCACGCGCTCCTTCATGACATCGGCAGTGACCGGGAGTTCGAGCCCGTCGAGCTCGTCGGGGACGACACCGACTCCTCGCAGGAACTCGTAAACCCTAGCTCGATTCGCTACTTTGTCGTCCTTCATCTCGAACAAACTAGGGCGGGCGTAGAGAGACGACTTGGACTTGGACTTGGGCTTGTTTCCGTGATTCTTACCTCGAGTTGCCGTCTTCGACGGAGACGGATTCTCGGAGGTTGAGGCCGAAGCTCTGTCGGCGGCGACAGCATAGTGAGGACCGGCGATGGATGCAATCGTCGTGGACTTGGAACTCAACTGGAGACTGCGGTACAGAGAAACGGGGAATTGTGGATGTAAGAACGACGAGCCGGGAATGTGGATTCCGGCGTGGCTGCCGATTCTCATCACCGGATTGAAATTACCGACGACCTGCATAGTGTTTATGAGAGATAGGCAGCTGTTTCCTGATAGCCGGGCAAATGGGAAAGCATTTTAGAAGAGATGATAGAAGGAGAGTGAAAGAGCAGAAGCAGGTGTTTGCATTTTACTGATTATCCAATATAGTCCCATTACTTTTCTTATGCTCAGATCAGCACATGATGAAATTGGCAGCAAGTAGGGTTGTAAATGAGCTAGAGCGGTTTATGAGTGGCTAGGCGTTTGGTTTGAGAGAACTCGTTCGATACTAGATTCGTTAGTAGATATAAGTTGAGTTTAAGCTTATTATTGTTCAGCTCGTGAACTAGTCAAATTTGGTGGCTCGTGAGCTAGCTCGTTTTGAGCTAATGAATTGACTCGACAATATTGCTAGCTAACCAGTTCGACTAGCGGGTTATCAGCTAATTGATCTATAGCTAATAAGTTGGCTTGTTGGTAAATCATAAATTTATTAGATTATATATTTTACCATAAAGATATTTAAGACTATGAGTATAGGAGCAAATATCTCTCATTTCTATTCTAAATTAGAATGATAAATTAGTGGAACTTTAACCGACCTCCTGAGTTAAAGAAATTTAGAAGATATACAATTGGGAGAGTTACCACTACACAAAATATATCAGAAAACCTTATGGAAATGCTATAAATAGACCCCTCAACCTACATTTCAAGACAAATCTTTTACATGGGTTACTCTGCCTCTAGAGCAACTCGCAAGAACTAGAATTGATAAGAACCTTGAGGACATAATAGTGGCATCAATGTTATTTTCCGCTTAGGGGCGCCATTTTACAGAGTACAAGTAGCCTCGTCTTTCACTTATGTACTTCTTACATGTTCCCAAGAATGACTAGTTCGATAGTTAGGGTTGTGAGCCCTAGAAGTTTCTTAGACAATGTATTGGTCGATCTTGATTATATATAGTATATTTGCTTGATTTCATCTAATTGTGTTTATCGTCATTGCTTTCAGTCTTATAAGTATTCATGTAGGTAGATTGTAACAAGGAAACTTATGACATGTAGAAAGTACACTTTTATACCCTATTTTATGGCAGGTTTTGGATGGTTTTCATATATTTAGTACCATTTTAGCTTATAAATGTTTGGTGATCACTCAAAGGTGTGTCTAGTAGCCCTTAGGATTGCTTTTTATACACTTTTGGTAGTGTCTCGTGTGTTTTCAGTCCAAAGTATCCTAGCGGACCGACTTGTCAGAGTGGGGGACATCAAAACCCAACTGCTGAAAGTTAGAAATAAAGATTGGATGAAGCTCAGAAATTTATGTATAATTCAGGTGCCCCTAGTTGATTTGGCAGCCTAGGTGCCGATTTTGGAGAGTCCTAGATTACGGCAAATTCAAGAGAATATGTCATATTGACTTATGAGCAATGTAAAGAGCATTTAATCCATTTAGATTGAGAATCACACAATCATATTGACTTATGAGGTTAAATGGACTTAAGTTTCAAGCCATACTATCAATCTATTTTGAGAGTTCTGATCGAGCAACACTATCGAGCTAGCTCATGAGTCTAACTCAACGAGCCGAGTAAGCTCGCGAGCCTCTTCGAGTTGGAGAGGTCCTAACTCATGCTCGACTCATTAACAAATGAGTCAGTTCACGATTCATTAATAAATCGAACTGAGTTTCCAAAATTTTTTTTTTTCCGAACTGTGTCATGAGCAACTCGACTCATTTGTAAATCAGGGTAGAAAATTCTATCCATAAAAAATAATGTAAAAGTTACAAAATGAATTATAGATGTTAAAGAAAAAAGAAATCAAATTTGGCGAAAAGAGCCCAAACTCGGTTCCTCTGAAAGATCCAGATACTTCGGTGCGTCCGCGCCGATCATGCGCCAGCAGCAATAAGGTCTTGTTTGATTGACGGAAGGAAGTTGTGGAAACAGCGAGCGACAGAGTGAAGATGACGCCATTTCAGCTCGTACTCTGCTTCTCGAGCTTTTTAGCCATTGCTGCAGCACGGGCTTCGCAATACTCCACCAACGGTAATCACACTTTCCCACCCTTCCGCCATCTCAAACTTCATCAAACTTTTTGTTTTTTTCTTACGCCTGTTTCTTCTATTTCGCCATTTGCCATACCGTTTGTTGGTTCGGTAGTTCTTATCCCACGGAAATGCCCTAGTTTGCGTCTTCTCGTTCTAGTAAGTACCGTTGTTTGAATTTGATAGTTGAAGAGTTTGGCCTGGCACGACTGGTTTAGCGCATCAAGAGAAATTCCTTCTGGGCACATTTCATATTAACTAGGGATTGATCAACAGTATTCTTTTCCGCAACTAAACTCTAGTACAGGATCCCCGCTTGTTTGACACTTCAATCTTTCCTCTAGTACAGGATCCCCGCTTGTGCGAAATATCAGTGAGCTTCCTCAGGATAACTATGGGAGGGGAGGCATTTCCCATATAACTGTTGCTGGTTCTGTCCTGCATGGGATGAAAGAGGTACTCAGTTGCTTTCCCAGTGCTTTACTTCTCTTGTTTCTTATGTTGGGTTGTTTGGATTTCTATTCGCTAATTGGTAAATTCACTATGTTTTGCTTGTGCATCTGGGCTTATCTCAATCTAGTATGTCTACTGAAGGAGTTGGTTCTGAACTGCTCGTCACTGATCCCAGTAGACAAGCTAAGGGTTGCATCCTATATCTCAAACAATTTGGTAACTCAATTTTGTAAATCTCTGTAGGTTGAAGTATGGCTTCAAACATTTTCTCCAGGCTCAAGCACTCCCATCCACAGGCACTCGTGTGAAGAGGTGTTTGTTGTGCTTAAAGGAAGTGGCAAACTTTATCTTGCTTCTAACTCGCACCAGAAGCATCCTGGGCACCCAGAAGAGCATTTGATCTTTCCTAATAGCACATTCCATATTCCAGTGAATGACGCACACCAGGTATGAAATGTCCGGAAGTGCTTTCGAATCTAGGCTGTTCTGTTTTTTTGTCCTCGTATTATCATCATTAATCATGTTGCTGGATGGTTTTCTAAGAACCTGTGACAAGTTTGTGAATATGTGTGGGTTTCGAGTCTTTTTATCCCAAGAGTGGTCTTCGACTATCTATTGTGGCTGATGTCTCAAATCAGCCTCATGAGATGGGGGCTAATACATATATCACTATATGTCTGCATTTGCTTGGCTGACTAAATGTGCATGGTTTTGGATGTCTGGGTTCCATACTGCCATCTGGGAAGGTTCTCACTATCTCCCTGGTTCTTGTTTATTATTGCCCTTCTTTAACCTGATGATGTTGGACGAAAATGGATGTCATTCTATATCTTTCTGATCTCTTTGGGCAGAAGTTGCTTCTACCCTTCCTTCTCTTACCTGGACTATATCATGACTTGTCTGCAGGTCTTGAATACAAATGAACACGAGGACTTGCAAGTGCTTGTCACAATATCTCGTCCACCAGTAAAAGTGTATGCAACACTACTTCTCCTGTCTTGCACATATTTACATATGGAAAATCACGAAATGCAAACACTATTTCTTCCGTTTTTTTTTTGTACTAGTTTGTGTTGCCCTTATAATAGGATCTTGTGACGGCTATATTCATCTAGAAAGCTTCTTGATCTTATTCGTTACTCCCTTTCTTCAAGTAACCTATATACTGTGAGAACTATACCTTAAAAAGTCCAACTCTTTTATGACTTCAGTACTTAAAACTTGGTTGCTTATGAATTTACCAGTTGCCTTATATGTGGAGTAAAGAATCATGCGCTATGTACAAGTGGTAGTCCTACTTTCTGAATAATACTTGATAAATAACTAAAACCTCGTAATTTTGCTCTAAATTAAGATTGTTATTATTGAAATAAATGGCATATAGATGTAAATGCTAAATAAGATATGAACTGAGTTGTAGATTTAGCCAAGTTATCATCTGCATGCGGATCCCTATGGTGGTGCATTATTGTTTAGAGACCAAGGAACTTTGTGTGCAAGGTCAAGGAAACAAGGGAACCAAAGTAGATAAGGATTTGAAATGTTTTGGCTACTAATATTGCACTCTTTCTGGTTCTCTGGTTTGCCCAGCAACCTTTTACTTCCTCTTTTGTTTTCCTTAGGTTGCACTGCTTGTGCTCCTGTTCTGTTGTCTGGTTTTCATTGCTTTTGTTTTGAACTGGGACTTGTACTCTTATTTTGTCTCTTTTCTTTTTAATGCAATTATCACCTTTATAAAAAAAAAAAAAAAATTGCATTCTTTCTACTTAGTAAAAACAATCTTGCTTTCTTCATTTTGTATCCAGGTTCGTTTATGAAGACTGGTTCATGCCACATACTGCAGCAAAGCTGAAGTTCCCCTACTATTGGGATGAACTTCCAACACAGGCGAAAGATGAGCTCTAGTTCAGACCCGACCAACACTACTTTTGTACATTCGACTCCCGTCCCGTATTCCTGGACTAGCTGTTATTGACTGTAAAACATTTAGTTTGATATATTAACAACGAAAGGGAATAGTAGAAGCCGTTGAGCTGCAAACCAAGCTTGGTCCCCAAGTTACTTGGTTAGAAACTTGGTTCTTTTTCCCCTATCGAACCTTTGCTGAGTTGTTTTGTTTTGCTGAATTTCGCAGTCCCACAACTCTGAATGTTGCAAGACATGAGATGTAAAATGCATCGACTATTACAGAAAGTAGCAATGCATGAATGTAAAATGCGTGATGGAAGTGAATTTTGGACATTCCATGTAATTCATTTTCATACTGCAGATTCCAAATTCCTTCTCTTAAGTACTAAAAGACATTCTCGAACTTTCCACATTTTCATAAATTCGTAATGCTTAACTCGTTATCCAAGGTCATGGTCACTTTCAATCAAGGTTGTCAACCCGTGGGTTGACCCGGACCCGGTCGAGCTAGTGGGTCAAGGGTTAATGGGTCGATCGTTTTAGCCCGGTTTGGCCCGAAAATATGGAAAGAGTCATTATATTGTAATTATTCTCATAAATTATATCAAATCTTATCTAACATATGAGTTATAACATATAATATTACACCAAAATAGCATATCGTACTTAGATCCAACAGATAGTGAAAATTCACACACTTATATAACATAAATATTCAAATTTTCAACTTAGGATTTCAAAAATTGAGTTAGGCGAAAAGAAAAATCGGAAAATAGGCGCATTTCGCAAATCAATGAAAAAAATGAAATAATTTGACCTCCAATCCGGTACCTTGTAGCGGTCGACCCGACGGGTGCGTGCGGCCCGTTTTTCTCACCTGGCCAGGGTCAAATTGGGTCGACCCGCGGGTTGACAACCTTGCTTTCAATCGTCCGCACAACCTATTATCTAGGAATTTCAGATATAGAATTGACAATTCTCCTGAAACACTTTAAACGTAAGTAAACGACACTTTTGGTGGCTAGTAGGCTGTCGCTGGTCTGATTAGGAGCACAAGCTTTAAGAACCGCAGTATAGGAACAACAGACAAAATTTGCACAAAATAGTAAGTTAAGCCTTGGTTACATATCACACCAGAATCCCTACTAGTTTCATCCTTTCTTCTTCGACTGTGAACGCCGTTGAGCCTCTCTCTCAGCCAGAGCAACATGGAACTCGGGTCCCAGCATCTCATCCACACCACAATCCAGCTTGCTGCTCAAGTTAACCGCTTCCAGTATCACTTCCACAGTTATATTGAAGCCTAAATTGGATAGCACACGGATAGCGTTCGCGATCTGACATATGCGCCGCCTCGTCTCTATCGGAGTGTCCTCAAGGGATTTATTAGACCTCGAATTCTGCTCTCCGGCATTTTCTGTTTGATCCTCCACCATGCTCTCTCGGACATCCACATGTTCACCAACCCAGATGAAGCCATTACATCCAAGAATCACGTCGACATCGTACTCATCCAGATGATGGAAATGGTGTTTTTGTCTCTTCACCAGATATGGTGGAACCTTCAAAAGTTGACCCTTCTCGAGCTGCACAACATCCATATTATCAGAAAAGAAAAAACATACATCCATAATACTTTGGGAATCATATTTCTCTCTAAAATACATAATTACTGTTGATATTACAGACGTTTAGGAGGAAGACCACATAACAAATTACCGCGTACAAAAACATGACTACAGTCACAAGTTTAGAATCAAACCTTTCCGTACTTTTGGCTTCTGGCTTGCAGCTGGAGAGTACCATCATGCTGGAAGTTACGAACCTCAGCCTGAAATGTAAAGAGAATGCAAATAGGTTCTAGCAAGAATTTTCATATTATTTTTATCACTCTAGCAAAATCACTCAGCCTCAAGTTACATGTGGACGAGTTTAACATACAAAAGATAGAACGCATTAGCTGTGGACTTACACATACAACATCATTCTCCTCAAATATATAGCGCATGTTGAGCTCATCCAATGCAGTTCGCCGCCTCTAGCATTCACAAACAAACCATATTTGAAGTTAGGAGCACAATCTTGTCAAGCAATAATAAATCAAAATCGTGAATCAAGCTGATAAGCAATCAAGCAGTGACAAATAAAAACAACAAAGAGGGGTGGTTACGTTGAAGCATAATCCGTCACAAAAAGCATTGGCTCTATTTGTTTCACTAAACAAACTAAAGTTTATGAACATGATGCAAAATATTTCAACAAATGATTCAATGACAATCCTCCAGCGTTAGTGGTGTAGAATCCACAACACCAGGTAATCATGAAATTGTGTATCTTGCCCTATTACTAACTTAGTTTCTCATGCTCTGCATTTGTTAATCTAATTAAAAATAAAACAGCATTCCAGAAGGACATTTCAAAAGTATGATAAAACAACACCTGAATACCATCAGGCAAGTTCATGGAAGAAAGCATTAACACTGCATCTTGGCTGAAATTTATTTCCAGTTTCCAACGCTTTTGAGCCACCTGGATGAATCAACAATGAGATGAGAACAGGCAGACATATTAGCACACTCGTTATCTAATTTACTAGAACAATGAGATGTCAAAAAAATGATCAAGAAACTAAGAGAATGTTGGCCCAAGTTAAACTAGCAATTCCCAAACATGGACCAAAGCTACTGCACATGTTTTCTGACATAGAGGAACAAACCGCCCTCTTCCATATGACACACATATACTTTATGAAATCCCATTACCTAGCTACCCTCTTCCGAAAAACAGAAAGCAGAATGACAAGTGAAAGAGGCATAAAGTGAATTGAAACACAGAAAAACCTTAACACAACTAGCTACCCTCTTCCAAAGTTTCCGATTCTGTTTCCTGGCTACCTCTAATGCTTAAAACGTCATCCGAAATTTACCTCAACAACGCGTCCCACTATGATATCGCCAACCTCCGGCTTATACCTAAAGAGTTCCAATAGCAGCAGTTCAACAAGAGAGTTCAAAACACAAAGACAAACTAGAAAGGAAAGACGAACCCTAATAAGCAAATACCAAAGACTCAAATGTGCACCTGGCGCGCAAGGTCCGTACATAGACCAGCTTGTTAACCCGCTCCACCACCCCACACAACGTCGCAACCACATCACCGCCGCGTTCCGAGGTTCCATGCCCCCTTGAGATATTTATTCGATTTGAAAATTCTCGCGTTGGAACCAAAGCTTACGAGTTTCGGCAAACAGGTAATAAGCAGGAGAACGATCAATTAGGGTCGAGGGAAGTTACTTACTTGAGAATGCTGTCTTCGTTGTTGATGGGGATGGTGTCTGCGACGGTGACGGAAGCGTTGGAATTGACCTTGGAAGAAAGGGATTCGAGCTGCTGGAGAGCTCTCTGCAGCCTGATCTTCTGGGTTTGATTCAACGACAGCTGAATTCCTCGCATTTTGGCTTGCAATCCGTGTCTACAAGCAAGGGTGGGAAAATGCAGGGTAAAACCCTAAACCCTCACTGTCTCTGTTTCTTCTCGCTTTTCCCCTTCGTTGCTGGTCATGGATTAGGGCGGGCGGACGGGCGGGTTTTGTTTATCGGCTGATTCACAGGCCGAGCCCGTTAGTTTTTTTATTTTTATTTCTATTCCGCCCCTTGGGCTTAGTTAAGTTAAGCCCAATATATACCGAATCCAGTTTTCCGCCATATATAAGTTCTTTGCAGCTTGAACCTTTTTCTTTCAGCCATCCCTAGTAAAGAAAAATGCGGGTGAGGATGCCTCGTACTTGGCTTTTTTACCCCCTCCCCCACACTTTATTTGCGGCAGCATCGTCTATTGATGTGTACTGTATGTGTGGTAGGATGTCCGTTGTACGAGATACATAGCGACCACATTTTTGCTTTTAGCGCAGAAGACTCCTTCCTATGAGGAGGAGTTCAAGAAATCACAAGGGCACAAGGAATGGTAGGAAGTACCAATGCGTACATTTTTTTAAGGTGGATCCAAGTTTTATGACAAGGTAATCCTTCATATGCTCTACACTAGCCTCTTTTAGATTACGTATTAAAGCATAGACTAGCAATTCAAAGTACGATGACTTCAAAGTTGCTTGAGGTGTGTGACATTATGCGAGATTGAACATTATGTGTAAATGCATACACAAATTCCACCCTATAGATATAATCCACACGTAACTGGCTCTAGAGGGCAAACCCATCATGTTCACAACCTGTCTCACGTGTGTAATGCCAACAGTGAAAGTTAGGAATGGAATTCCCAAATTGACGATTTGAGAAACTAATTGTGGAGTGATTCACGATCATGAAACGAACCATGAATAGTTTCACGGGCATGACCTGATATTGATCCACAACAATTTTGCCTCCAAAGCGAGGTTTGTGCAGTTTTACGTGTTTTGGGTAAGAAGCACCATTTTCCATATGCATGAACAATCAGAATATGGCATAGTGATGAATACCAATCTACCTAAATTTCACCCCACACTTTAAATGAGATAATGTCATCATTGGACCTCACAAGGAGGTAGGGAAAAAGATAGAATGAAGTTTCCGTAACTCCGAGAATCCAAGCGGATCAGCTAGTTCCATTGATGTGTTTTGGTTGCAAAACAAAAAAGAAAGAAAAGCAAATTGGGTTATCTCTCTTTATTACTTTTGTTTCACATCTTTAAGTTAGACGCCAGACATGGAATGCTTCCCATGTAGTGCTCTCTCTTTTACGTCTTCGAGCTAGGCATAGCGACGAGTGACCTATGCATCACCCATATGATTGAGGGATTCGTTATACACAAAGTCCGAGATATCTGCCAAGGAAAATTATGAGAGGTGGAAGTGGTAGGGCGGGCTGGTGGTGGTGCAAACACATGTGCTGCACAAGCCTGGCAACGTCGCTCTAAGTCAGAACGACCTTTCCTTGACCTCTTGTCTCCCCCTCTCTAACTCTAGCTCTATACCCTTATTTATACCTTTTCCATTAGCCTTTACAAGGAGAGATAACTGCCATACAACGCCATTCGGCCAATCAGAAGCCTCCAAACACGTGGCTAGTGAATTGGACTACTTCTTGACGAAGCGGTTGATTCCAGCAAAATAGCAACATGACGCCCCTTTCCTTTAGTACAAATGGCACATTGGGCGCCTTTTCTTCATTGACGTCCAGTTTTCGTAATCTTGCTCCGGCAACTTGGGCTTGATGTCCCCTACGACTTCCAAGTAGTCCACTAGGCTGCTCGGCCCAGAAAATGCACAAAACGCTACCCAAAATCATATTAATTGTATAAAAGCAATATTACCGTTGATAGAATGCACTTGAAGCAATCATAGCAATAATCCAATGTATTATGCCACTAACTATAGTAAATGCACACAATTTTGGTCACAATACAAAGGTCTAGAATAAACACTTTCATATGTCATCAGGGTGATTGGCTTGTCATTGGCGCCGACAAGCTCTCCTGTCATATCAGGCAATTTTTGCCATTGGTGGGAGGACTATTTGTTCTCCAAATAGAATTGTTTTATGGTGTCTCTATACCATCTAGTGGCAAAACCATAGATTGCACTACTAGTTTTGTCAAAAGTTGTCTAGCCTCACAAAAATCACTTATGGTTGTTTGAAGCAACTTAATAAGTTCACTCAGACCCCTACCTAGATAATTGATAGACTCAATTTGAGAGCTTACATGATGGGTATTGCTCGCCAAGGCCTCCTTCATGGATTGCTAGGTCTCCACCATGTTCTGGTGAAGTGTCATGATGTTGGTGATTACATCCAAACTTGGCAGTGCAGGTAGTAAAGCCTCCACCATGCCATTGTTTTTTACAACACCTTTTGTTGCTTGGCCAAGTTCAAGCTTAGCCACTTATTCCTTCACAATCCAGGCGAAAGATTACATTCTTGTTGCCTCTGTCTTGGAGCCATCAAATCAAACACAAGGTCCCACTGGGCGTACCAAATTGCTTTCCATAGGGAATACTCGCATTGAATTGAATTGAATCTGCATTTGACTTCATTGGACAACAAACATTAAGACACGAATTACACCTCTTTGAGCACAATTTAGACACGATGTTTGATTGATAATTTTTGTGAACATAACTACATTAAATTACTTCTACCCCCTATGGAGGTTCAGTGAGAGCTCAAAACTATGACTATGACTACTTGTAGAGAAAAAAAAGATTGACACTTGACATATGGGTAAGTTGTGTTTTGTGAACCCTTGTCCCTGTCGATCCCTCTTCCTATCTATAACCTTGTGAAGGTAACCGTCTTAACTACATGTCGGATAACTCCCAAAAAAGAACATCTCCTTTCTTACTTGAATGTGGCTTACATGTCCTTAAATGTGGGATGAATAACTATTTCTCGCTCAACCCCTAGGTATCCGTTTAATCTTGTTATCAATCTTGTGCCCTTGTAATCCGTGCCATGTAGTCTTGTGATGAGCACGTGGTTGTCTCGGAAATGGGTCATCGTGGTGGTCACTAAACCCCCGACGCAACATGTCCATGGACTTCTCGGAACTTAATACTTTTGCTTATTTTTGTAAGCAAGCGACTAGAGGACGATTGCTTACTATTCTTATGGCATGGCATGGCAAGGCCTCTTGCGAGATGTTCATATTCCTTTTGTGTTCATGCGTGTGACAGACTTAGCGGGTTGGGCTTAAAAATCAAGATCAATGAGACCCAGATTAAATACTAGTAATTGTTATAACTAATTTGACTTTATAAGAGGATTAATTACCTTGTTGATCATCAATGTGGTACAAGTTAATTTTCAGATGTAAACATCATTGAATTTAATTCGAGAAAAAGTTTATATTTCATCAAATAACCTGTAGGTTATACAGACCGGATCCGATCCCGCGATTCACTGGACTTAGAATTACTCATTTGAATGAAGAGAACCTATAGAAAAAAAGTCATGTTCATGCTATAATATGTACTCTGATAGATAGGTACGTATAACATGCATCTTCAAATCATCCGCCAGTACTTCTATAAATCAACTTGTGATTTGTGAGCTTTCCAATGAACCTGCGCCGAAATGAAGGCAGGAAGTCGCGCGCGGTATTGCTCGGAACCTACGGCTAACTTCGTGGTATTGCTTTGGCGGCTGTCTATGGGCTGGCTTTGGTCACAGTCACAGAGCTACTTGGAAATTAATTTGAGTGGTTGGAGCTGGAAAAAAGGAAATCATGACGATCAGATACGTAGTACGTCAGAAGCATTGCCAAGTACCTTGCACCTAGCCATCAATGATGTCAGCACTCTTTGCATCACAGACGTCAATTATATATATATAATTATATATATAGATAGGTATGGGCTTATTCCACCACTCAAATATTGACGGTGAAAAATATATTATATTGACGGTGAAAAACTTTCTTTTAGAGGCTAAATATAGGTAAACGATATTTAGCTGTACGAAACGGTTAAATCATGACTTCCGTATAAAATACTCTATTGTTTGACTTTTCTGATATTTAGGTACACTCATCCGCATTTATCAACAATAGTATAAGATTAGATTTTTCTTTCTTCTTTACAATGGGATCGCATATATTGCATAACATGTTAATTCGCCCCATTTATTAACGGTGTAATAAGATAAGATTTTTTTTTAAATTTTTTTGAATATAAACAGGTGAATTTTTGTCACACTAAGCTTTTTACTTGGGTAGAATCAAACCCTATTATTAGGTGGAGTGAATTCCATATCATTCATTTGGCTATCAATGACAAATAGTGATGGCAATGGGCCAGGGGCGAGGCCACCCACTTTTACATGTTATTTGAAAAATATACACGTAAATTTTACATTTTATGATAAAACGAATGTGAAACACTTTATGAATAAAAAATAGTGATAATAGAATGAATATTTGAGTCCAATAAGTTGAAAGATCGACTCTACCTAGTGGAAGAAAAGTCAAAATAGGAGAAAAATATATAGATATTGTAAGAAATCGAGATAGAAGAAGGGGCCAAGAATGGGGTGGGGCTAGCCAAGGCAAGGCGGGTCTAAAGTAGATACCCATGTTCCGCTCCACGCTATTGCGGGTCGAGTAATACCTACCTTATTACGTGCCAGTTCGAATAATACCCGTGAAGCGGGTTCAAATTGTCATCACTAATGACAATGGGGCGAATTTCCTTGACATACATTCATCGAAAGTCCCATCTTAGTTACTTACTTACGAAGTATGCATGCCACAAATTCTTGTAGATGTAGGGAGAAACCCTCATATACTTCAGTAAATCCTCGATTAAGACGAGATACCACCTAGCGATTTGAATAATATTCTGATGTGTTATAAATATTTGGCTAATAATTAATATTTTATATTTCAAAAGATTTGACTAATAATATGATAACTTTGATTGTTAACGTTAAATGAAAAAAAAAATTTAATTTTTTTTGTATCAAATGACATATTTATGTTGAACAAAAATAAAGAATAAGAATAGAAGAAAATATTGAGAATTTATTAGTAATGACTAATGATAGTTGGTAGAATAAAAGAAGAAATAGTATAATGGAAAAATATGACAAATTAATATATGAAATCTCTCTCTAATTATTTAAAATATTTGATATCTATAATTTTAGAAATTTGAAATTTCTTAAACTAAAATTCAATATACAACCAAAATAACATAACTTTCGCCAATAGGTCTAGATAGATTATTTCCAAGGTTGTCAAACCGGTTTAAGTCATTGAGCCGGTCAAGCAAGGGGTTTGAGCTTTAATGGTCTGATCTGGGTCCGGTCGGTTTAAGCCGTTTTAGACGTTTTCTAAATATATGTACAAATAAGGAAGTAATTAAAGATTTAATCACTGAAATAAAATTTATCTTACATATATCTATTAAAAACTTATTTTTCACAAAATAAATTTACCTAGCCTTCATGACCCACCCACTATCTCTCTTCTTTTGTTCCTCTTCCTCTCTTCCCCCTATCTTCTTCTCCCTATTTAGGGGTCAGACCGAAAACTTTTTGGAGGCCGTTTTAAAACTCAACTCGAATCGGACCGGGTCCAACCGAGTGTTTTATATGGGTTTAACAACCTTGATTATTTCACAAATGAACTCCACGCTCCAACTAGTCGATCAAATTGACAAAATACAGAGCTCCAAATCCCGCGTAATCAAGAACAAGTTTGTAGTCAGCCACTTTTCGCTCTTTCATTTTCGCAACAAAACAAAACAGCAGATACATGGACGTGGTCAAAACAACACGAAGAGAGTAGATATTTCAAGCCCACAAAGGAGACCCAGTCTCCTTCACCTTCACGGAAGCCGCCTCTCTCTTTCTCCTCCAGCCTCTATATAAATGGCGCAGCCCCGAATCTCAACACATTCCACACCAAGCTCACAAATAAAAAAGATCCCACAACAGAAAAACTCCTTCCTCAAAATATCTCTTTGCAATCCCAGATCTCAATTTTTCGAAGAAAGTTGTATCTTTCTATATCTTTCACTCACAATGGCTCGCTCCATCTCCAGCGCGAAGCTTCTCTCAGCTGCAGTGACAAGGGCAATCACCAACGGAAGAGGATTCTCCGCGGCCGCCGCCGCTACTGCCGGAAAAGCCACGCCGGGGAATGGAGGGGGTTCTGCGGTAACCGCCGCGACAAGCGGCATGGTGAAGAAAACAGGGGAAGCGGGAAACAAGGTCTCCACCAGCTGGGTTCCGGACCCTCGCACCGGTTTCTACCGACCCGAGAACGTTGCCGAAGAGATCGACGCCGCGGAGCTCCGTGCTCTGCTCCTGAAGAAACATTAGAACCATTCAAATTCCACGAAAAAACAAAAAGGGAAAAGAGACTGATACTGTAACGCCGCCGCCGGGATCGATGCTCTGTTATTTCACCGAAAGACATTTTTTTTTTGGGTTAGCTTTACGCTCCTCTTTTCTTACATCGCGGTAGGCGAGCAAAAGCTGGAAATTTTTTTTGTTGGCTGTAAGAGACTTCCAGAATTATATCAATACCAATACCAATTCTTTTTCATTTTCTGAATTTTGGTTCTTCTTTGTGTTCACCTGTCCTCTGTTTTCGATGGACACACTTAAAGACTGTTTGAACAGAAGATTTAACCACCTAAGCACATTTTTTTTCTTGTTATGAGGCAATCAGATAAAGCATCTTCCCGTTTTTAAATCATATAACCAATTGACAACAATATCTTCAAGGTAATTTATGTGGGATCGGAAAAGTAAGGCCGACTTCTGGTTCCAGAGTATTCAAGTATTTTACTTAAACGCCGGATAAGGGCAAATTAATTAGATCGGAAATATTAGTTCATTATTGCAGAAAAAGATTCGGTAGTTAGAAGGAAACATGTACCAGTACCACCCACAATGACGAAAGAATCGGAATGTTATTTGAGGAACTCAAGGTTTTCAATGATAAAACCAAAGCCCAGCTGCCGACAGAATTCCACGAAAGTCCAGCCCAGCCCAGTTGGCAGAGAGCCAGAGACCACCCACCCATATTTATGTTAAATTTGTTGGATCGTGAGGTTTAGCCCATTAATAAAATTTCAGCAAATTTTTATTAAAAAAAGTTAATAGCATTTTGTACCCCTCTACTTTGATAAATTAACAAACATATCCCTTTACTAAATTTTTGCACAAACATACTCTTCTAATTTTTTTAATAGTAACAAGTTTACATTTCCATCTATTTTTCCGTCAAGTAACCGTTAAATGAGCTGGGAAATGAAGTAATTTCCCCTCGTCTACTCCTAATTTTTCCGTTTTAATCTAAAATAATTAAATCATTTTACTCCACTTGGAGAAACTAGCTCTCACATATTCAACGAAAAAAAAAGAAAACTAGTTCTGATACCATCTCATAAACCAATTGAGAGAAAATTACGTCGAATCTTATACCACTCTCTACCATTGATTTGTTTTGCTCCACTTGTTGCTATTCTCGAATTTCTTCCTCGGTATCTTCCTTGTTCCAACTAATCCAATTGATGTCATCATTACGGGAAAGAAAAAAGAAACTGCGTTGTGACTTGTGATGACAGCTACAAACTACGAAAATAAATTCCACACAAAACTTTCTTGACATTACATAAAACATTTTTTTATATTCATATTACACGTAATAACATTAACAGTAAAACGACAATTAAAGCTTAAACCATGCATAAACTCCAGATCAACAACGTATTACAAGTACAACAACGGGCCAGCCGACTCTATAGACCCAACTTCCCCCAAATTAAACCCACACATTAACCATATAATAATAATAATAATCTTTATTCAACTTTCTCTCAGTCTCACCCAATATTCCACGTAGAAAAGTCGTCATAATAAAACTTTTTCTAAATAGAGCTAGCAAGTGGCGTCGTCTCGTAACCCAAACCACTCTCCGCAGAACCATCCGTAGCCGTCGTGGTAATCAACGTCGAAGCAGCGTTCACGACCCTACAGTTCCTCCTGATCTCCCCGCGGCTCCCCGGCGGCGGGGCGATGTTGCCCATCCTGATCATGGACGCGACGAAGCTCTGGAAGAAGGCGGTCTGGTTGGCGCTGAACCGGTTGACGATGGCGACGGTGTCCTCGCCGGCGGTGGAGAAGAGCTCCTGGTCGCTCTGGAGGAGGCCCTCGCGGGTCTGGAGGTTGGAGAAGTAGCGGGAGTCGAAGGCGTTGGGGGTGGCGCGGTCGAGGTTGGCGAGCACGCTGGCGTTGCCGTTGCGCGGGCACAGCTGGCGGAGGGTGTTGAGGTAGGTCGCGTTCAGGGTCGGGTCCGGGTTGCCCGACCCGCTGAAGTTGTAGAGCCGGTCCACGAACCCGCCGCACTGGGCCCTCCCGAACGTGTGCGCACCTGAAATGATATAAGATCCATAATTAATCTTTTTACCAATTATTTAAGTCAGAACGATCAACTAGATCATGATATGATGATGATATGGAAGTTGGTTAAAACAAGTGGTTGTTCAATATTTTTATCTGAGTACAAGGGTATGTTTTGGCATGTGCAAACTTCAGATCCGTGTGAGATTGCTTTTTTTTTTTTAGGAGTGTGCTACAGGGTGATTTGAGATAACTGAAAGTTAACCTCTTCCGCAAACGAGTCGAGTTTCGTACCGGATGAACTAGTTCGTGACACGTTGAAGGTCCAGTAATCGTAATTATCGGCATATCAGTATGTAAATGAAGTTCAAAGCCAACCACCCCTAGATAAAAGTCCATGAATATATATATGTTTGATAATGTGTTCTTATAGAGAAAATGTTTGGTGAGGTTGCATTTATGTTTCTCTGAGAAAATGACGATATATGACTCGAGTAAAATACGATATATGACTTGAATGTGTGCGCTTGATCATCCCCTGATAGAAAAATATGCTCGATTTATAATATGGTACTAGTTAGAGCTGATTTGTCCATGAGATCACGTGTGAGAAGTCTCCAATGTTAATCGTTGTCTTAAAGTATACGGTATGAGAAGGTCTGTGCAAATTTTAAACTCATTATGAGTCGTGATTTCGTTTGAGGGGTCTATGCAAATGTTAAGCTCATGATGAGTCGAGATTTCGTTTGAGGGGTCTCGAAGTGGTTAAATTATTATTGGCATATGTACTGAAGTGATAAATGACATCGGTACGTAAATGAAGTCGAAAGCCAACCACCCTAGATATATGGAAGTCCACGAATGAATAGTTGTGTGATATAATGTGTTTCTTATTGAGAGAGAGAGAGAGAGAGAATGTTTGGTGAATTAGCATTTACGTGGTAGGGTTTCTTAACAGGTGGCTGGCTTATGGACGGAGACAGCGGTAGATCAGGAACAGGGCCATGGGCGGCTGAACTATATGTGTATAGTTAGGCTTACACATGGCAGGCCGGAATTAATGGTGGTGGCCGGTGAGAATTAATTGCGTACCAGAGAGGGCGACGAGGTCGACGGTGGTGTTGAGGCCGACGGCAGCGAAAGCAGCTTTGAGCTGAGGGACGGTGAAGAAGGGAGGCGGGAGCGCCGAGTTCGCTAAGCTCCGGTTTGCGGTTAAGCTGTCCAGTCTTCCCAATGGAACTGCCCACGACGGTCCTCCTGCCTGCGCGCACCATTTTCCAAACACAAGTCATATATGATCTTGATTAAAATCGGTACAAATGTAACCCATATATTCATAATATTTATTTATTAACTAATACCTGCTTGTTTTTTTTTTTTTATTCAAATCTTAAATCTTACGTAAGTGAAACTATATATTATATATATCCGAATTGCTGGCATCAACTAGAATGTGTAATAGTGGTGGCGGTGAAAATTCAACTTGACGAGAATGCATTGCATGTTCACGTCACCAACCTAGAGATGTTCATCTTAGAATTTTCAAAACCTTGTAAAATTTCAACCAATTCTTGATTCGGCCACAAAATTTCCTTACTTTGTTTTTCAACGGCCAGCTTGGAGGTATATTTCAACGTGCAGATAAAAAAAAAAAAAGTCGACGGAGAAATTACTTATTTTCTTCAATACAAAAACACGTACTCGTGTCTCATGGTGACTACGTAGCTAGGTGATGCCAAATTTGTGGTTTAAAGAATAAAGACGTCGTATTCTGCATATCTGTTCGCCACATATACCGATGACATATATATCTATATTTTTTGTTTTTTTTTTAAATATTACAATAAGGTGTGCGTAATTAAAATTAAACAAAGCTCAAATTAGCAATAAGATTAAGATCAGCACAGTTAAATCTACGTACCAAGGCGACAGATTCCTCGGAGGCGATGGTGAGGATATCGGCGCAAGAAACGACGCCGGGGCAAGACGCCTCCACCCGGCTTTTCATCAAATCTATAACTTCAAACCCTCTCAACGAGTTGTTATTTGGAAGAGCTTGTTTCTCGCTTAAAATCGTCGCGCTGTTGTCCAGCAGCACTGATGCGTCACATCCCTACATATATATATTGCATTATTTCATCAATCAATCACCCAATTTAGTTAACTAACTTTCACTTTTAAAAAAAAACACATATGTGTACATATATATCGTTCAATCATTAAGTAACATTAACCGTCGATAAAAAAATTAGAACACATGAACGACTCAAAAGCACTTGTAGTTCACTAACATTCCAATCATTTCTAAAAAGTTGGTTCTTAAAATATTCGGCCCAAATATTAATCATCTAAGATTAATCAATCCTAATCTATTTATACAACTACTCCACATCCGACGACATGTATTATATGGACCGATCGAGTAAAAACAAAATAAAACATTCTCTCTTGGGTTAGGTTTACCGCAAGTATTTAATTTCCTTACATCACCCACAATTCTCTTTTCTTTTTTCTTTTTTGTTTTTTTGCTATGAATGGTCCACTTAAATCAATAACCAGAAGATCGAGAGTACGATCACCATCGTATTAAAGAGAAGGAAAAAGATAGCACAAGTAACATTATGGAGATGGAGGGAAAAAAAGTTAGGGCTGACTATTTGGTCCGGACTGTTTGGTTTTACCTGAAACCGGACCGTATAACTCGGATCGGGATCGGACTGCGGATAGCAAACAATCCAATCTCATATTCGGACTTAGATTTGAGGTAAAAAAAACTCAGATAAAGACCGGATAAGAAACCCCCCAACACCTAAAATCAAGATAAAAATGGGACCGGACCGGGTCAAGACCGGACTGTATCCAATCCAATCTTTGGTCCTTATAAAGACCGGACTGGGACCGGATCAATTTGGTTCAATTTAACCGGACCGGACCGTATAGCCACCTCTAAAAAACGTTTGATTTTGCTTGTAATGCTAAGCATGAACCCTAGTTGTTTGCTCATCCAGCAAAAGCACCGTAAAGAAAGCAACTAAACGCACAAAAACACAAAATGCTACGGGTGAACAAAAAAATGAAGGAGGAAATGCAGAGGAAGGGATGGAGAAGAGTTATTATTACATTGACGAAGCAGTCATGGAAGTGAAGCCTGATGAGGCTGGCGCCGATCCTGGGATCGGTGGCGGAAGCATTGACGAGAACTTGGCGAATGATGTTGGTCACCGACGGGCAAGTCGGGGAGTAGAACGTCGGAGTAAGCTGCTGCGCGTTGCAGCTGATCAAGAACAAAGCCATCAACGACGCAGCAACAACAACAACGAGTTGATGAAATGAGGAAGACAACAACAAAGCCATCTTGAGATTATAGAAAGGGTGTTTTTTTTTTTTCTACTTGTGGTAGAACTCTCTCTATATCTCAAGTTTTGGTGCAAAAAGCTTTGTTACGGGAGGGTGTATTTATACAACGGATGAGACGGTAGGGGTTATGGGTTGCTGAGGCTGAGATGCAAAAGGGCATATGGCAGCCACGCTTCAAGTCTTTGGTCTTATCTATTCGATTATTAATAATTAATTTTAGGGCGTCTTTTCTTTGTCTATGTATTCTCTCATTAAAGGGTTTTGTAAGCAGGGTAGTAGAAGTTCCAAAATATCAAGAACTTTTTTTTTTATAAAGGTGAAATTTTGCATTACCAAAAGAAAGTACACCGGTTGGATAGTAATGAATAACTTATTTTTTTAATTTAATTTAATGAATGATATCTCTTTAGTTCAAAGCGAGAATTTATGTTTTTTTACAGAAAAATCGAATTAGTTTTACTCTTCAAAATAATATTCACTTTGATATATTGTGGAACAAAAAAATTTAGACATATATTACCAGTATATACCATATGACTATAATGTTTGTTAGTATATAAGAGATTACCATGGTGGTATTGGTATATATGAAAGTGTAACAAGGTGGTATGAATATATCGTAGTGTGAAATGATTGTGTAGGTGATATTAGGAACATATTAACCATCATTTGTCAACTTTCAATACCATAAACGACTAATTACCAGCTTATACCAGCATAGTAAAGGATGGTATATTTGGTCCTGAAATTTCAATTTTTAAAAAATTCGTAAATTACAATATATCACGAATTGGAAAAAGTTAGGCAAAATCAATAACACATGTTTTTGCACAATTGCACAACTAAATGTGGACATTAGTGCTAAGTAAGTGGGGTGAAATCTAAGCGATGAGATTAAAGAGCTTTTTATTTTCTCTAATTTTTTAATTAACTTGTATCTTATTTTTTAACCTGAATTTACAAATTTGTACCCGACTAAAAAAAAATTAAAATTTTTTAGGCACAAATGGGATGAGCTCATTTCGATGTGTTTCGAGATAAAATTTCTATCACTCGTTATCACCCTGATACCACTTTGTAGCACATTCGTTTTAACCAAGTATTATATTTTTGTATTTAATGCATATATTATCAATATATACTATATTGATAATGCTTGATAGTACATAAGATTATACCATAATTCTTGAAAGTTTATAATGATGGTATGAATATATTATATGATTGTCTCAATAATTCTAGATATATATTAATCATCATTTATCACATTTCACCGCTGGGTATAGCCTACCACCAGCTTATACTAGAGTAGTATATGATGATATATTTGAGCTTGAAAGATTTTATGAAAAAATTGTATATCACAATAGATTACGGGAGCACCCAGAGAGCTTTATTAGCTGACGTTGGCGCAATAACTAGTGGGAAGAACTTTCTGATTTCTTAAGAAGAATTCCTACGTGGGTTCTCAAAATATATAATTTATTAAAAATATCAAATTTGGCTAAATACTTGTTGGAATTGTGTTCTTTAATGTAAAATAAAGAACTAGTTGGAAGAACAATATTGATTTCCTATGTGGGTTTTCAACGTGAAGAAACAAAAGAACTTTTATTGAGTTCTTAAGAAGATTTTCCAACATTTATAATTAAAAGTATTAAATTTACCTAAACCACTTGTAAGAATTCTGTTCTTTATTGAAAAATAAAGAACTAGTAGGATTTGATTTCCTACGTGGGGTTTTCAACGTGATGAAATAACTAGTTGGAAGAACATTATTTATTTCTTAAGAATATTTCCTACGTGGAATTTCAGTATTCATAATTTTTTTAAAAATATCCAATTTAGGTAAATTACTTGTAAGAAACTAAGAATTGTGTATGTATTGTAAATAATGTTTTAAAGACATGAAATGAACAAATTTTCATAATATCCTGTTTTTCTATGAAAATGAACGGAGTTTTGAAAAAATACAGCTTAGACAATATTCTAACAACACAAGAGCTTGTGAATTGCTATAATTAGCATGATCGATCTACTCTTTGTGCCTAAAAGGTCGACCTCATGAAAGTTCGAGTTAGTGAGTTTGGGAAGTTTCTATTTTCCTTTATTAAAGTGAGATTTCCTTGGGATTTATTGAATGTAGGTGCTTGCCAATAGTGTTGTGTGTATTTTAGGAAGGGAGTCCAAAGAGTACATGTTCTTTGGTTGTCCATTTTCACCGGAAGGTGCATTAATCACAAATGCTAGGAGAAGCAGCGGAAGGAAGACGCTCCAGCAATCAAGAAGAGTTGCAGGCGCAAATTCTGCAAGAGGGAGAATTTGGGAAGCTCTGTGATGTATGGTGGAAAGTAGAATTTGCAATTAGCTTTGTGTCTATGTCCATGGCGGGCTAATACAACCTGCAACTGTGCTTGCGAGATTAATGTTGAATGATTTGAAGGGGATGATTAGTCAAACTGTAGATATGGTTGAGGAATTGCCTTCATAGTTGACACATGAGTCCAATTAAAAATAAATATATATGTTTATTACTTATTAGAAAGTTGTCATTTTCCATTATGAGATTTGAAGGCGTAAAATTTTAAGCAAGTTCCAGTTTGTATTCATTTTGTTTCTCTCTAGAGTTTTTCTCTTTCACCCGGGCTAGAATTTTCAACAATTATACATGGAATGTTTGACCAGGTATATACACGTATCAAATAAATATTTTCCATTTTTCCTATAAAAAGTAAATAATTATTATGTTAAATACATCACCATAAAAGGAATTAAGCCTCAACTATGCAAATTACACTTCGGTACCTAAACTAATAGATTATTAGATTTATAACCTAAATTTATTTTTTTGGCATATAAGTCATCAAAATATTAATGGAACATTACATTTTAGTACCTAAAAATTTTGTGTATACATTTTGGTACCTAAACGTTTAAAGTTCTACAAATAGGTCTAATTTTTGTATGTGCAATGAAAACACCCTCGAATAAATGGGTATCCATACCTAACTCATACACATTTAGATTATGGAAGTAAATATCAATATCCTACCCAAACTCATCTACAAATTAAACTTCTAAACACATATATACCCTACCCATAATCAATGGGTCAACTTGGGTTTAGGTAAATATCATTTATTAGCCAAAATTTTCAAAAAAAATTAAATTGGATGTTGACCGCCATATATCTCTTCTTAGTCAATATTACTAACAAAAGTGCTAAAAATATTAATTTTAGACTAATAATACTTACAAAACACTATAACAGGTCACATAATACATGCTAAAAAGTCATCTCTACCTGCGGCAAGGCGCAGATTCGCCACCTAGTATTTATATAATGTTATATTTTAGTTTCTTCAGATTGACTTTTGATCTGTAGTATTTTTCGTTATCTATAGCAAGAGCCGATTCCCCTTAATTCTATCTAGTCGGACAATTGCTTGGTCAAATATCAAGCATACACACAATCCTCTCTCTCTTATCAAACAACTCTGACTTTAACTTTTTGGTAGATGATTAAATTGAAACTGTTTAGATTTTATGTTCCTTTGCCGATTTTGTCTTACGCAAATGAATCTGTAGTTGGTGACCTGTGAGAGAAATTTCCTGATAAACCAAAAGGTGAAATCTTCTTGATGGATTTTGTGGTATGAGAAGATATTAGAATTATAACATAAACCAAATACTAAATTAAACTAACGGAAAGTTTCCAAAATATGAGGGTTAATATAACAAATTTTCACAATACCACACCAATTTTTTTTCCAAAACACTAGAGTTTGAGATAGTTTGCCCTAGTGTCAAGCAAACTAGAAAGTGATTCGTTGGAGACAAGAGCAAACTACAGCGCATTGTACCAAACCAACCCAGATAGCGCCAAGTAGACGGCTGACAGAAGCGAACAAGGTGGCTCGCATGAGACAGGAACAAACCACACTGGTCGCTAATGAATACAACGACGATCTAGCCTCCCAAAAGATTAATCGAAACCCCCGCGTTCTACATATAACACATGTCGAAACTTCTAATAACTGTAACTTTGCACTTAATTATTCGCGTGTAGCGAAATATTTTTTTATCCCGTCTTTAATTTTTGAGAACTTCGAAGCCACAAACTGTCGTCCTCCTTCGTCGCCAAAAAATGTCATTTGCTACCCCAAACGACCTATTTTTTCATTTCGCCAAACTTCAGACGATCGTAACTTTGTGCTATGCAATCCGATCATCGGGGAAAAAAAATGATCTTGCATAATTTTTCAGAGACAATAACATTTAAGGGAGAGAAATTTCTATAAGAGAAAATTATTTTTGGATATAAGGGCTTTTGAGAATAACTTTAGATTTAATTTTCACCTTTTCTCATATATTTGACAACAATTCTATAACAAAAGTTGTAGTCTTTCAAATGTTACGAAAAACAATTTGCATCGATTGCATTTGTGGAGTTAAGGTTACGGTTGTCCAAAGTTTGGTGAAATAAAAAAATGACTCGTTTGAGGTAGCAAATGACTTTTTTTTGCAATCAAGGCGGACCGAACTTTGGTGGTTTGTGGCTTCGAAGATCTTAAAAGTTATGCTAATTAAAAAAATTTGATACGAGCTGGTAACCGGGCACTAAGTAATGGGCGTTAGAATTTTCAATATAGATTAGAGGTGGAAATTAAAGTGGAAGTTGTTACTAATTTGATGTGGTTCGCTTGAGTGTGCTGCGATCCACGTTGATCTTGGGCTTGTGCACTTGGGTCGGCCGCAATCCATGTTGATTCCTGGCTAGTTTGCTTAGTTCGACTCTGATCCGGGTGATCAGTAATAAACAACATCGAACTCTTGTATTTTGAAAAATATTTTGTCTAAGTGATCTATTCCGAGAATCGCTATAATAATACTTGTATTATGGAAAATTTTCCTAAACTAACGAATAGCACCTTTAGTGCTTTTATTGTAAATACCATCCGTGCATGTTGATTGAACTTACAAAGTAATATAATTCTATTACAATAATTAATTAGTATAAATAATTCTACTTTTCATTCTTCCCAAGCACAACTAGTCAGGCCGACTGATATTGTTTATTTTTTTGGTAAATTACTGCTAGTGTTTATTTATTATTCGATAATGTGTTATAAGAAAAAAAGACCACCTTTATCCATTTTCTGCTCCAACCTTACTTTGGAATAGCAACGTGTTGTATGGCGATTATATATATGCATAAATCTCTGCAGATGAGCATTCGTAATTGTACACCTGCTCCCCTCAGAAAAAAAGAAGACTAAAACCCAACAACTTTGAGAAAAATAAAGCTCGGTTTCGGGTTATAACTGTGATTAATAATTACACTAGTTGGAGATGGTGGTGACTTTTGTCGTTTGGCCCAAGAAAAAGGGATAGGTAAACGCTGGGAAACTACAGTTCGAGGAGCTTAATTCGTAGCACCGGTACGTACGTGTATACGTGTATTTTCTCTTGGCTTTCTTGCATTTTACGTCATTCAAAGCAATTAATCGTTGAATTCGGGGAGGGATCAACACGTTACGTACAATTGTTGAATTTCAGTGTCGCCATTGAAACCCTACCTTCCTTTCCTTTTTTTTCCAGATCTGTAATAGATATTCCTGTCCTTCTAGATTGTGGCGAGGTGGATCGGGTGCATGCATGTTTGGTTATATGTTCATTGATTAACAGTAAGACTAAGAATACATTCCTGGAAAAATAAAACAGTAAGAATACATTGTATTGGTATTGATACCATGGTGGATCCAAAGTTTTTCACATTTATGCCCTGGATCAAAGCACACAATGATTGTGGTTCACTACAATTGTGGTCAAAGGATTAATTCACATTGGTATGTGGGGGGAAATTATGTTGCAGTACTAATATTATAAGTTTGAATTGTGCACTTCTAAGTTAGTACAATATCAATTTACCAATATACTAAAGCTCATTCCAGGTAATTTTATCGTCGTCAAATTTATAAATTATCCCTCTGTTCACGAAAGAACGAAAAATAGAGAGTGGAGAAAAAACCGGTGGAAAATAGAGGGCTTTAGAACTTTTTCTCATTTTCATAAGTTTTGTTACAGTACAGGACAGAGATGGAGCCAACCTGTAGGAAGGGGGGCTATGCCCCTGTGGATAGGCCTGTCAATTCGGTTTTGGGTTTTCGGTTTAACCCGAACCCGAACCGATATAGACAGTGCCGGTTTCGGTTTTTTCGGGTTCAACCCGGTACACACAGAAGCGGTTTCGGTTTACCAAAACCCGCAAAACCCGATGCCGATAGCATCAGTCACGCACGCTGTCGTTTTGGATTTTGATAGCAATAGCAACCCTACCCTAGCCTTCAGCCCTTCTGTCGCCGTCTCTAACAGAGCGAGACGAAACAGAGGACAGAGCCTCCTCGCTTCAGCCCTTCACCTCGTGCCGTCGCCGCCATCATCGTCCTCACAGCGCCGCCATCATCGTTCCAGCCTTTGACAGGGAGGAATCCGCTTCACCACCATCAACTTCGCTCTTCGCCTCGCTCTTCCCCTGTTATTCTGTTCCTCCTCTGGGTTCGAAGCTTCTGGAGATTGGCGATTTCACGAACAACTCCTCTGGGTTCGAAGCGTTGGAGGCAAATTAAAGAGGCAGAGAAAAGAGAGAGGAATTTCTCCGGGGATATGAAAGGTCAAGAACGTGAAGTATCCTAATCGAAATAGAAATGTAGACAGCTAGAATGTGTGTTAGATCGATCGAGAGATTGACGAGATTGTAGCCTGTTGTTTCCGAAATGATAAATAAAATGATAGTTGGGCTTTAAGCCCAAGGTTGCTTCGTAGAACTAATTGGACTCAAACAGAGTCTTTCTTTTCAGCGGCCTGTGAAGACTTATACGAGCAAGCCCTTCTTCCTCCTCTACTTCGATTCTCGGTTCCAGACAACCTGCAAAACAGAGACTTCATTCAGAAATAGAGACTTGCTAAAGTCTTGATTAGCACAACTGAAACATAAAGTGACGCAGAGGATTTTTACATGGTTTCCGATACTGATTCATCAGTATCGACTAGTCCATGATCAAAGGATCTCTGATTTGAGTCCTTTGACGTTTCACTATGATGATTGGAATTCGATTTACACAGTACATAGGTTGATCTCTATGTGATTCCCCGTCACTTGATTAGATTCATCCTTTAGAGTCTTGCTCCCTGCAACCACTCTAACTTGACAATCACACTTCTATAGCGTGAGTTCTCTCCCTAATAACTCTCTTCTTTTTCCTTTCAAAAACCTTCTCTGAAACACTCTGCTTCTGCTTTTGAAAGTTCACTAAAAAAAGATGTTTTTATTCTACCCACAATCTCAGCTTATATGCTATGCTGTTGCTGACCGTTGTTGTACTGATTTGAGAATCAATTTGGTTTCTTGATTACCCATGATTGATCTCAATATCAGAACCTTCCCTTTTGGTGCTTCAGGGTGCCTCTGCTTTTCTTCTTTCCTTAATTTCTCGATGCCATTGACTAAGTTTCATCCAACAAACTCACCCTAAGCTTGTCATTGGCTCTTTCTGCAACCTGCAAACATGTAACACACGATTGGTACAGCCTGTTCTGGCCGAGAAATTTACAGGATTGTTTGACTTGAGAGGATGGTCCATGAAACCATATATTGTAACTGATATTGTATAATTTTTTTCCATGTAAGATAAATTTTATTTCATTCATTAAAATCTTAAATTATTACATTTTTTATATATATTTAGAAAATACAATTCCAACAAGCCGGATCCCGATCATGCTATAAAACCTCCAACCACTTGGTTCAATGACTTAAATCGGTTTGACAACTCTACGCTATGGTTATCAAGACAATGACCGGTTCATCACCAATCCGGTTTGATGTGAATACTGGCGCTGTGGCCCGTGGCGCTTTTGCTTCGAGGCACACACCAACCAATCACCGTCACTTTCTGTAATCTTTCTCCTCCACCCGCGATTGGCCACCACCGGCTCCCCTTTTCTCTAATCTACTTCACACACTGCCGGCCACCGCGCCGTTCTCTCACACCTCCGCCCTTCTTTCATTTTCATTTCCCCCCAATATGGATTTCTTCAGATCGGTGTTTTCAGACGAACCAGATCCCCCTCCTCCGAAGTCCGCATCCGGCTCCCAAACCCCTCCTGAACATCAATCAAACTCAGATTCCGACTCCGATTCTCCACCACCAGCACAGCCACAATCCAACCCTAACCCTACTGCCGACAACGACGCCCGTGGGTGGAGTAGCTTCGGTGGCCTGATCCGCACGCTCACCACCAAATCGGAATCCGTCATCGAGACCTACCGCCGGGATCTCAAGGAATTCAGCACCGGTCTGCGGAAGGAGATCGAGGTCGCGCAGGGATCCCTCGAGAACGTCGGACAGGCCTTCGACGAGATCGGAAACTCTGTGATTAAGGGCACCGCGCAGATCATTTCACAAGGCAAAGAAGCTATCATTTCTCTTGACAACGAGTCGGATTCCTCAGACGTTGACAGGGGAAGCAGCGCCGCCGGCCAGAGCAGCAGCTACGACTCGAGGCGGTACAGCCGCTTGGACGCTCAGGTGAGAGCCATTCAAGGCGATGCCAGCACTTTCTGCGACGAGCCGGAGGATTTGGACGATTACGGCAAGTGGAGGTCGTCGGAGTTCGACCTTGAGGAGAATCGGGACGAGATCGAGAGCCTGCTGGAAGAAAATGGTACGTTGGATAATATATATAGAAAGGTTGTGCCTGGTAGTGTTGATGAAGAAACGTTCTGGTCTAGGTATTACTATAGGATCTATAAGCTCAAGCAAGCCGAGGCTCTGAGAGCCAATCTTGTGAAGCGTGCCATTTCTGCTGAAGAGGAGGATTTGAGTTGGGACGTGGATGATGATGATGATGAAGAAGAAAGTGAGGATTGGAAGAGCAAGGTGAGTAAGGGTGAAGAAATGTCGAAGGGTGTTGTAGAGGAACATCAAGAGGTGAAGACCAGAGATTACGCAATGGAAGTTGGGAAATTGGATGCTATTGAGCCGGTAGAGCAGAACCCTGTCGAGGATAAGAAAATGGTTGATGAGAAGTCCGTGGAAATTGGGCTAAATGCGAAGGAGGAAGCTGCTTCTGCTATTTCGACAGTTGAAGAGCAAAATGTAGTAAACAACCCAAGTTCTGCCACTGCTAGTGGTGATGTAGTATCTAGTGAGAAAGCAGATGAAGTTAAGGAGGATGTGAAATCTGCTGAGAATTCAGGTTCTGAAGGAAATGGTGGCAATGGAGGGTCTTGTAAAGACAGCGATTACTCGGTAGTGTCGAGCCACCAGACGACAGCAGAGGAGGAAGATCTTGGGTGGGATGAGATTGAAGATCTAAGCGGCATTGACGATGGTAAGAAAGAGGAGAGGAGAGTGAGTCAGGGTGGGAGTAGTGCAACCAAGGAGGAGTTGAGGAAGCGGCTCAGTGTCGCAGAAGAGGAGGAAGAAGAGGATTTGAGCTGGGATATTGAAGATGATGATGAACCAGTTAAAGCTTGAACAGCATCCATTTAAGACTGCTTTCGAAACATTCATATCGTTTCTCACGGTATTTTCTTTGCTGCTATGTACTGTTCTCATTCCTCTTGGACGTGTGTTTAAGTGTGGCTTAACGGTCTGGATGTTAGAAATTGATTTACATGATTCATATAGCTTTTCCCCTCCATGTAATGCTCTCTCTCTGAATGTCGATGTTTCAATGATTATGAAATTGGAGCTAAGGTGTTTTATAATATAGTAACTACCCTAATCCGTTGTTCATTATTTTCGGGTAGTTGTTATATCCTCTGAAGGGTGATTAGTGTCTGATTGATGGCTGAACAATTTTGTTCTTGGTCAGGTCCCAGCATTTGAACATCAGATTCCCATGTTGAGAGTTATGGTAGATGGTGATACCGGCAAGAGCGGTTTGAAATGTGCAGGAACGAGGAATAAATTTTTTGCAGCAAGTGATAAAGTCAGAGCCAGAGTAAGGTTTTGTGACATTGATAATGTGAATAGGGCATTGTTACATCCTGTGAAGCGTGGTTAGAACCCGATGGATGATTGAAAGTAAGCGCGATTGCGACTTTGGACAGCCATCACAGAAGGTGTTGAACAATTAGTTGCGATGATTGGAGTAATTTGATGAACAGTTAGGGTGATGTTGTGGGTTGAATGTTGCTTTCGTTGCCACTTTTATGAAGAGTGTGCAACCAGGGCACTAATCAGGTTTTACGCCGTGCACTTCGTCCAGCCCTAACTGTCTACGTCTTTAATCTTTATATATCTTTATATATGGCCAAAACTTGGCCATTGACCAGGTTGATCTTTTGCACCTACGTGGGTGATAATTGCGAAATTGGCAACATCACGTTATCTTTGCAATTGTTGAAGTAATTGGCAACATCACGAAAAGTAATCTTAACCTCTCCTTTACTTTGACGGGGTAACTGCATTACAAAGGGACAGGTTTTAGCGGACGGTGACGCTACAGTTGACAGTAAATTTACCTTGAACATAAACGAATTCAGTATATATGCCGCGGAAACGTTTCAATTTTGAAGATGCAGTTCCTATTAACGAACGACCGAACGTCTACAATATATGAAGATATTTTTACTTAGGGTGCACATAAAACCACAGCCAAATTTAGATGGTTTTTTTTTTACTCTCTATTTGGGGGGGAAAGGTTTTGAAATGAGACAACCCTTTTGAGCAAGTAAAAACTTTCCTACTCTCTTACTGGAAACAGCTGCTGATTCTTCACACTCAAACTCCCGCAAATTAGAAAAAGTAATAAGAAACCCTCAACTCTTCCCTAAACACCAATTCTCCTAGACGACCTGGTATGGCATCTAGGCTACAGATCAGGTGCTGTGTGCTTGTGCACTAACTCAATCAAACCAAGGCAGAAACCGTAACAAGTTTCTCAGCAGAAACAAAAAGAGCCCCAAAACATGGGCAAAAACCATTTTGGCCCCTCGTTTGTACATTTCCCCCCACATTTCAGGACGATGCTCCCCCGACGCTGATTGCCGCAGTCTCAGAGGCCGCGGAATCGCCTCGGACAGAAGGCTGCAACGCCAAGTAGCGTCCCCTCTGTGCGCGCGGCGGGAGGTGCTTTGCTGGTTTCCTCGTGCTGCCCACATTCCAGGGCAGGAAAACTCCTGTCCCGCCCTGACCCTGCGGCTGCGGCGGCATCATTCTCTTGGAGGCAACCATGAGAGGTCGAGGCATGGGAGCAGCAGCAGCAGCAAGCATCACCACTGGTGTAGTGCGTATGACGCCCCATTTTCCTGCCATTGTTTCCACTGCCTCGTAGCCGTTGGGCGCCATGGCGTATGGGTTGGGCATGGGAGCCGGCTGCCAGACCGTGAGTGCGCCACTCATCGGGCTGGTTGGTGGCGAGTGGATCAGCAGGTTGGGATCGGGCCGAACTCGGAAGAGTGTGATGCTCACCCTCTTGTTGCCGGATGGGCACATGACGTGCCTTGCTGTGTCTGCGCTGTTCCCTCTCATCACCAACAGAGACCTGTAACAAATGTTCGATAACGTCAGGTTGCCTTCACCGGTAGAGGTTAAGGATTGTTAGTAATGGATATTTTAGTTATTTACCCTTGTTTCAGTGAGAGCACCAGTGGACCTCTGTAGTTGCCATCGCTGTCACCCAGAAGGGTACGTCCGAACGCCATGGTTGATTCGGAGAGGAGAAGGGTAGCTACTGGCTGGTCGACATGGGGTGGCTTCTGGAAGGGCTGCGAGAATTCCTCCTGTCCATTACAGCAAGGGGGCAGAAAATGTTTTTCAGTTTCCAGCCTTGGTGTTTTTGTATTCTCGTTGAAACTTAAAATTCTCACAAGTTTTTAACAGATTTAGGTACCTCATCAAAGAAGTGGATGATGCAGCCATTTGGCCTTCTGTATTCTGGTATGAGACGCCACTGCACCAGGTGATCTATGACTCCTTCGAGCAGAGCTGGGATCGGTTCTATGTTACCTGCCAAGAGAAGTACAAATTATTCAGGTCACTTTGACATTTGCAGCATTCTTGATCGACCGAGCATTGTAGTAATAGAGTCTCGAAGGCTTTTACAGGTTTGGTTGGTAGCATCTTCTTTAATGTGCTCGAAGATCGGGACGCCGAACTGAATCAGCTCTCTCTTGTTCCCTTTCATTTGCTTGTTGAACAGGATGAAAGTATCACCTGCATCCCATGGTGGTTTCTATCATCATTAATTGCCCATTCTGAAAGGAACCCAATGTAAGTTCCATTTATGAAAAGGGGGGAAAAAAGGCGAAAGAGTGGTGACCTGAGAGTTGCCCATTCTGCCCTGAAAGCCTGAGTTGGTTCACGAAATCAGTCAGCTTGGACAGCTCGCAATCAGTGAATACATCTTCAAATAACTTCAGTCCTTTGACAACATTCACCTGCATCATTAAAATGTACAACAAGTCCTGAATTAGGGGAAAGTGCTCGTTGTCCTGAATTTCTAAAGTGACCACACTATCGAGGGACAAACCCATTTCCTTCTTTTGTGGGGGACCCTACATGGCTACATGTATCATCACATTTAAGGGCGTGAAATAAATGAGAGATCATATGAGATGTTTTTAGACTATGGGAAGAAAGAAAGAAAGAAAGAAAGGAACTCGCCATATGGCCTTTCACATGTTCCTTGGCACTGAAACCTTTTGTCAACTTGATCTGAGTAGGACGAGCGTTGCACTCTTCGTGGTTGGAGCAGATGTCGATCTCACTGTTCGCCTCCACTTCCTGTGAATGAGATCCTCCTGCATTCCCACCACACATACACACAAAAACACAAAAAGGGGAGTGAATCACTTGTGAATTGATGCTCAACACTGATATTCGATTCCACCCAGCCTCTCTCTCTCTCCCTCTACACCATAGAGTTTGCTTTTCTCATTCTTCTTTTATGATGGTGTCTAAAACAAAAATGCCTTTTCTCCACATGTAAAAAAAAAGTTTTACTCCTAATTCTAATATACTCCCATCTTTTTTAGTATTCCTTCTTCTTTTGTTGTTGTGAAAATCGTTTTAGTATTCTCTGCTGTCAACCAAGCTACTGTTTCTTACAACAACAACAAAAAAAAAATGCTAATGTTATATCACTTTTGCCAATTCAGTTAGTGTGCTTATGTTAACACTAATTCACTAATGGTTGGTAATCCACAATTAGGGAGTTGCATGGTAGCCATGGTAAATTAGAGGATATCAGATACCCTTTACTAAGGAAAATGTTGTCTAGATTTTGAATTAATTAGAGTTTGAGACATATGACACTATATCAAAATACCAATGAGTTAGAAGTCTAGGTTCTAATTATCTAAATCTTTTACACTAAGATCAATTGTATTAGAAACAATAATCGAGATTTTGATGTGTCGAAACACATTCAATATATTAAATACACCATCTAGAATCATACTTCAAAATCCGATTAAAATAGTATTTTTTATTAACAATATGTGGTATCCCTAAATTTATCCCGAGTACGATAAAAGTCACCAATAATAATTTTGTAAATGATTACAGATGCATATATATATTAATAAATTGCTAAATGCTCAATTCAACGGTACAAACACGTGACAAGGTAATCATTTATAGTCTTGATTGTGTCCAAATCAATTTCTCTCAATTGGAAAAAAGCTTCCATTAATCCGTTTACGTAAAGTACAGTACTAATGTTAAGCGTCGTCGTCTAAGATGACTTGTTTGATTTGGATTCCAACTTCTAAAACTTTGACGGACAACAGATAATGCCGAGAGGGAGCGCAGCCTCATCCCCCACAAGATTGGGAAAGTAATCACACGCACAGAGCTCAGCGAGTTGTGACAATTCTGTCGCTGTTGGGTTAACACATGAAATGAAAGAACGAAAATTAAAGGGGGGGTTTGGGAGAGCGTGGGACCCGCATGCCTAGTCTTTTTTTTTCCCCATTGTTTTATTTAGAATTAGAATAAATTCGCCAACTTTCGATGATAAATAAAATAAAAAGAATAAAATGCCAACAAGGTCCAGCGCTAGGAACGAACAATGCTGAACTAGATCCGAATCTCTCGCTCCTCTCCTCCCTTCACTAATTCTGTTTTTTGTCAAAACTCAAACCTTCCATTGGATGGTCCATCCAACGGGCGGGCAGTTCGGCACGTCCAGCCAGCCTGCCCCCAAGCAATATATTTTTTTTAATTAAAACGAAAATTTACTTACTCAAAAACGAAAAAAAAAAAAAAAAAATCCAGCCAGCCAGAGTTCTCACGGAAATCAGCAATTCGCTCCGCCAGCTTTGCATCCCCTCTTTTTCCACCTCCTCTGGTAGCATTTGTTTATGTTGCAGTGAGAAGATGCCAAAAATATATATTATTATTTTATATATTAGAATTAGCTTTGGAAAAAAGATTGTTATTTTTATAGTAAGAATTGGGCTTTGCTTCAGGATTCCCCGACTGTCTGTCACAAAGCTCAACCGAATTAAGGAAAAAGGCAAGAGGTGGCGCTATGTGACGTCAAAGATGAGATCGGACGGCTGTCATCGCACAACCAACCCCCTCTCCTAATTCAATAGTCATTGCACACATCTCTAAGCACGCCGGCCGGTTTTAAGCATAAGCGGGGGCCAGCTCGCGTACGTCAGGCCTTTTTCTGAATCCTTCCTTCCCTTCCTCCACAAAGTCACTGTAACCAACCGAACGGACTAGACTTCTCCTCGAAATGCCCGAGACCACTACATAAAATTCCAATCCCCAACCCTCTCTGGCCCATAAAAAAAAGAACCCCCAAAACCAACTATCTCTCTCTCTCTCTCTCTCTCTCTCTCTCTCTCTCTCTCTCTCTCTCTCTCTCTCTCTCTCTCTCTCTCTCTCTCTCTCTCTCTCTCTCTCTCTCTCTCTCGTTTCAACATATACGCCATAAGGAATTTGCTTATATAAACACAATTATCAGTATTTCATTGTTCGAATTAGGAATGACATAGGTGCGAGTTGATATGAGTGTCTTGATATTTTTTTAATAAGAAGTGGATATTCTGTTTGAATTTAATTTATACCAATTTATATAAGTATCTAATTTAAAAGAAAAATATTTGAAATATTGATTTTTTCAATTAACAACTCCCGTGAAACAAATTGAGATGATAAACGTGGTTAAGTAATTTGTGAAATTGAGGCTCTCGAACACTCTGAACTCTATTATAACAAAATTATGATGTAAAATTGAAATTCTAAATAATTTGAGTAAATTGCATATGATTCAGACAAAAACAACTGGTCGTGAATGAGACAAGTCAAAGCATCTCCAGGGACGAATATTACATATCCAAAATATATCTTTTTTTTTTTTACTAATTTACAGATTGTGTAACTTAAGTCTTAACTAGACCACACAAATAAAGTGAATTATTAAAATGTTAAATGACTTCTCTTATCACACAATTTCGGGTTTCAATGAATTCTATTTACTTATTAGAATGTTGAATTGCAGCACGCTACCAAAATACTCTTTTTTCTTTCGAAAGGACGTTACCAAAATACTTGCTCGTTGTTTTCCTATTTTGACTCGCAAGGAAAATCCAAAATCTAGATTTTTGGAGTAATTTTGATGTTTACTTGAACTGGGGCTTCGCTTTTTATTAAAATAATGATTATTTACAGTCTAAAATAGACTCCTCTAAATATGAAAATATTATTAGTTTATACAGTCCTCGAAAAAGTACGGCATATCAACATATCTTAATCTATACACTGTTAATCAAAAAGTTTAACTTTTCCCCACCATATGTTTTTTTTTTATAATGAGAATTTCAAAATGCTCATTATTATTAAGCCATCGCTTGAAATCTTCGATCTGGCAGGGCTCATAAATAACATAATTTTTTATTATTCTGAACGTGGAAAATTAGGGAATTAGTTTTATAGGCTGAACAAGGCAAAGCTGGTTCACAAACAGACAACTGCGAATTGAAAGAAAAAAATATGTAAAACTACTGCCACGTCACGTACCCAGAAAATATTCAGCTGTACATGTTTAAATGCTTTCAGTTAGTTAGTCTTTTCATCTATTTGTTTTGTTCTGCCTGCGAACAGAGCACAGTAACTTTTTCCTACACGTAAACTGACTGTAACTTTTTTTGGATGAATTACGGACTGTGTGCAACTTACGCGCTGACTGAGCTTGGAAAAGAAACACACAAAAAAAAGGCAAAAGAGGCCCAAAAAGGGAAAAGCTAATTCAGAAAAACGGCATATTTGGTAAAGAGAGTACGGAGGGGAGGGATTGCCGTGAATTTTGCAGTCGCAAGGTCAATTCTGCCGTTCGCAGATTTCCAAGAACGACGGAGGCAAAGCAAAGAAAAGGAAAAGGTATAACGGAGAATTCAAAACTTTTACCAAGGCAGAAATTATGAGAAAAGTCAAATTTGACAAGTTTAATAGTTATTACTTACCTGAATCGTCGGTAACATCACTATCGTCAGCCGAATTCTCCGGCGCCGCCTCCACCTCCGCTCCTCCGTTCAGGTGACTCTCCGTTGCTGCAGCGGCGGCGGCGGCAGGTTTGACAATCTCGTCGATTTTCTCATCGGCTGCGGCGGTGGCGGCCTCCTCTTGCTCCGCCACCAGAACGGCGGCCTCCTCCACCTGATTAGCACTCTTCTTGCCTTCAATCCCGCCGTTCTTGTCCTGCACCTTCCGCTCCGTGACACGCCTGAGCTCCACGGCCACGTCGGCGATGGAGTGGTACTTCTGCATCTGGAGGACGGGGATCCAGTTGAGCCGCCTCCTGTGGATGGCGGAGAAGACGGAATCGTACTCCAATCCGCCTCCGTCGAGCTGCGCGAGGTGTCCGCACAATGCGTCGATGATTGCGTTCGCGGCGGCGAATTCACCGCGGAACCAGGCGAGGATCGCGTCCTTGGCGAAGGCGGCATCGGTCGTCATTAGCACCGGCGGTGGCTGGAGGGACGGGAACGCGGCCGGTGGAGCTCGATCGGGCGTCGGGGACGCTGGCCCTGCCGCCGGCATCGCTGCTCTGCACAATTTAGGGATTTTTTATTTTATTTGTGGACCGCCGAACTCTCTGATTCACTTTTTTTTCTCTTCTCTCGGTTAGAGGCCCGGCGAGTGAAGCTATGAGAATATGGGGGAAATGTTGTTGGTGGAGAGAAAGGGAGAAACGGAGGAAAAGGGAGCTTGGGAATAGTTTAATGGCGAGAGAGAGAGAGAGAGAGAGAGGTGGGGGAAGCGAGTCTGCGAGTGGTGATATTATAAAGGGAGAGTCGCGCACACGGGAGGAGAGAAGGGAAGGGAAGAAGAGGCGTTGGGGAGTGGACCGAGGCATATAATCTAGTCGGGTGGGTGGTGCCTGCCTAGGGCGGAAGGGCACTTCATTTTGCCAAAAAAACTTTTTCCCCTCTAATTTAGTTCTTTTTTATGAAGTTATGAATTAAATATGCCATTCCCTACTAGTCTATCACCTCTACAAATGCCTCCTACAAAAATCATAAGAAATTGGTTTAATTGATAATACACAATAATAACATTTACTCCTCAAATGTAAAAACAAATGATTAAAATCTTACCGGTGGTCGATTGTACTTTACTTTCTAACGGTTGAATGCAATTTTTCTTACAGACAGTAGTGTAGTCTGGAATTTAGTTCAGACAGGTCCAACAATAAAATTTCTTTTTGTTAATATTGCATAATGATTCACAACTTGTGTTTTATATTAAGAAAAGTAATTAAAATGTATTCATCATCCAAACTATTAATTGAGGATGTCTATCTCAATATATTCTATCAACGAATCGATAATGATTTCACTGCTCATCTAATTTGGAAGTGTGTACTTCATGTAGTTGAGTAGTTCCATTGCAGAATATATATGCTCTTTCAACACTTGCAGTGTCGACAAGTGGCAACAACACCAACTTTAGAAGTCAATACAATAATGAAAACACTATATACTTTTTACACTACCATTTCGCTTGAAAGTTTAGCAACTGTCTTTGATCGTGCAGACATCCCAATTGTCTTCGTATCAAATTAATAAATATCTGGTTAATGAACGTCCAGATGTAAGATGTCGTCTTTCGAGAACTCATTAGGATAAAGAGTAGCAAGATTTAACAACTTTCCTTTTCAAACTCAACAAATATCATATTATGAATAAACTAAATGTCATATATATATATTTTATTGAAGGGAGGTCAAAAAGGCCAGTTGATCCGATTGTAGTAAGGGGGCCAAATTCACTTGGCCCAAAGGATAAGATTGTATTTCCATAGGGTCTCTCACAAGCACTTACTCAAGTGGTGAGAGACGAGTTCTTTGGTTTGAAAAGATGAATATGGATGTTGAGGTTCCTTCGGGGTTGTATGCCCCTTGTTTGGAAAAAACTAAAGTTGAAGCAATGCGGAAAAGGAAAATTAAAGCTTGTGTATGGTGAAGGAAGCAGGAGGACAAAGGAGTTGCACAAACAAGCTTCCCTTAGAGTTCTCTGACTCATATTCCCAATCCTGACAACATATGAACTGTTTCATCTTTATACAATCTAATCCTACATTGTGTCGAGACTTCTTACCCCGATGTGGTAGGCAGAAAAGACCCTGTAGATTTCTCCCTTGAACGAAGATCGATCGTATAAATTATTGTTTCCGCTCTTGTTCTGTGCGACCAGGATTGTGATACTTGCACCTCAAAGGGATGCAAGCTCGAGTTAGGCACTCATTCAATCCAACAAAAGATAACATAAAAGAATTAAATACAAACTACAGAAAGAATAAAGTCAAATCATATATATGCCAAAATCGAGAATACATCATCAAGAACCTCTAGGGTTCGTAAACCTATGCAACTAAGGGAACTAGCCAGCCAAGGCGACGAGAATCATGGAATTCATCATTCAAAAAGAAGATCCCAATGAGTCCCCAAAATTGGCGCCCGAACAGAGATTTTGGTGACTAGACCGTCGATTTCCCTCTGGAAGCCGATGTCGTTCTAAGATAGTTGGATCACTTTGTTGGCAGAACAATGACCCTCTAATGCCTACTATCACTAGCTAGTGGAATCCTCCGCCTAGAAGTCTATTTATATACTTTCGGGTTAATTACATGGTTGGTCACTAAGATTACAAAAAATGTTCAAGTTTGGTCACCCGAAATATTTAAAATCCATTGGTGGTACTTCACTTTACGAAATCGTTCACGTTTTGGTCACTCTCCGTTAACTGTCGTCCAACTCCGTTAATTGAGCTCGTTAAATGATGATGTGGCGGACGAAATCACCTAATCATCACTATTTAACCCAAAAATAGTCTGACCCGAGCCGACCCACCACATCATTTGAAGTTTAAATTTGATACAATTGTAGTAAGGGAGTCAAATTTACCTAGCCCTAAGGTGTGGATCGTATTTCACTAGGGTCACTCACAACTACTTAATCAGGTGACGTGGACGAGATCTTTGTTTTGAAAACATGAATGTGGAGATTGAGGCTCCTCGGCGGTTGAAGTGCCCCTTTGTTTAAAAAAAAAATAAAGTAAAAGCAATGTGGAAAAGGAAAACTAAAACTACTGGCTGGTGAAGGAAGAAGGAGGACGAGGCGTTGCACATACAAGCTCCCTATAGAGTTCCCTGACTCATATTCCCAATCCTGGCAACATATGAGTTGTTGATTTTCATGTAATCTAATCGTACCTTCTGCTGAGGCTTTTTCCTCGATCTGGTAGGCAACAAGGACCCTACGGATTTCTCCCTTGAAGTGAAACATTGGTTGATCGAACAAAGATCGATTGTATAGAACTGCCATATCCAGTCTCGTTCTATGCGACTGAGATTTCATTACTTGCAACTTGAAGGGATGGAAGCTCGACTTAGGCACTCATTCAATCCAATAAAAGATAACATAAATTAATAAAACTACAAACAATAGAAAGAATAAAGTCAATCATATATATGCCAAAATCGAGAATACATCGCCATATACCTCTAAGGTTCGTAACCTATGTAACTAAGGGAGCTAACCAGGCAAGGGAACAAGGGCCACATGATTCATCGGTCGAAAAAAAGATCCCAAGAAGTCTCCAAAATCGGCACCCCAAACAGAGATTTTCTAGGACTAGCTAGGCTACCGAGCTGGGCTACTAGTAGTCAAGTTATGATGTCCCTCAACACGTCTAAAGTAGTCCACTAAGTTGTTATGCCCAAAAACACACGAAACACTACCAAGAGTGCATTAAATTGATAAAAGGAAGCCTAGTGCTATGAGAATATGCACTTTGAGTGATCACTAAACAAATCCAAGGTATTATTACATTAAAATTATCAAAACCATAAAGTTTTGGTCATAATATGGAGGTCTAATTAAGAAAACACTTCTCATGTGTTATCACCAGTACTGTTGTACAAAAGAGCATCTAAACAAACTAAGTCCAAAGCATTGCTAAAACTCGAATTGTTCAGATTATATAGAACCCTAGGATTGATTTTATTTATGTGATTTCTTATTATTATTGATCTTTATGGGTGGATTCATGCCAATATAATTGGTCTATAATTACTTCACTGCTTTCTTCCCACGTGTTGATTGCATAAAATCTAATTTGTGTGTGTACGAGATTGGACAAGACCATCACTCACAATTGTTTCATCAGAGCCTGGTTCGGCAGATCTGGGAACGTGGACGTCAGTTTGGTGGGACCCTCATTCGGTGACCTTGTGATTTGAGATATGCGTTTGGTTTGGTGGATGCACGAGAGATCCACGTTTGGGCTACATCTGGTTTGGCGGATCAATGGAGGTTCGTGTTTGTCTAATGGAGAGATCCACGTCTGTTTGGCGGATCAAAGAGAGTTCCGCGTCTGGGATAATCCTTGTACCGAGAAGTCCATCGATACAAGGTGTTTGGCGGATCAAGATAACCGCTGAGGAGAGGACACGAAGTTCGTGGTCTTTGTCTCTGAGGGGATGATTGTTATGAGGACAATCCAAGTTCCACATTGGTAATACAAGGGAAGGAACCCTTGTATATTAGTGTCCACCTAGCCCAATTAATACGAGGCCTTTTGGAGAGGACACCAAAAAGTAAAACCGTCCAGGCTTGGCCCAAAGCAGACAATATCGTACTAATTGAGCACCCCGATTTGACAAGTGGTATCAGAGTCTCGTTCGGTTCTGGGTGGTGGACGTAAGTTTGGTGGGACCATCATTTGGTGACCTCGGGATTTGAGATCTTCGTTTGTCTGACGGGTCAAAGGTGATTTATGTCTGTTTGGTGGATCCGAGAGAGATCCACGTTTGGGCTTAACGGATCAAAGAGAGTTCCGCTTTTGGGAATCAGATCAAAGAGAGTTTTGCGTCTAGTAAAGTCCTTGTATCGATACAAGGTGTTTGGTGGATCAATATTATCGCTAAGGTGAGGACACGAAGTTCGTGCCTTGTCTTGAGGGGAGGATTGTTGTGGGAATATCCAAGTACCACATCGGTAATACAAGGGGATAAACCCTTGTATATTAGTGTCCACCTTGTATTAGTGTCCATCTACTTTAAAGTAAATCCGTGCGGGCTTGACCCAAAGCGGACAATATCGTACTAATTGAGCATCCCGGTTTGACAAGTGTTATCAGAGCCTGGTTCGACAGATCCGGGGAGGTGGACGTCAGTTTGGTGGGACCCTCATTCGGTGACCTCGGGATTTGAGATATGCGTTTGGTTTGGTGGATGCACGAGAGATCCACGTTTGGGCTACATCTGGTTTGGCGGATCGAGGGAGGTTCGTGTTTGACTGGTGGAGAGATCCACGTCTGTTTGGCGGATCAAAGTGAGTTCCGCGTCTGGAAAAATCCTTGTACCAAGAAGCCCATCGATAAAAGGTGTCTGGCGGATCAAGATAATCGCTGAAGAGAGGACACGAAGTTCGTGGTCCTTGTCTTGAGGGGAGGATTGTTATGAGGACAATCCAAGTTCCACATAGGTAATACAAGGGAAGGAACCCTTGTATATTAGTGTCCACCTAGCCCAATTAGTACAAGGCCTTTTGTGAAGGACACCCAAAAATAGATTCGTGCAGACTTGACCCAAAGCGGTCAATATCGTACTAATCGAGTAGCCCGATTGTGACATATACAAAATATGATTCTAAGTAATGGATATATGAGAGTCGTCGCGAGAATACAATATGGGCATTATTCATATCTACCCAATTAAATTTGACTATGTGCAACATCAAATCAATGTGTATGAAAGGATAGCTACTTATGAAACAA